GCTCAATAAGCTAATCCTCCACCTGTGCGGTACCGGCATACCAGGTTCTAGTCCCGGTCGGGCCGCCAGATTCTGTCCCGGTTGCCCCTCTTCCAGTCTAGCTCTCTGCTATGGCCTGGGAGTGCAGTGGAGGATGGCCCAAGTCCTTGGGCCCTGCACCCACATGGGAGACCAGGAGAAGCACCCGGCTCCTGGCTTCAGATCAGCGCAGCATGCCGGCCGTGGCGGCCATTGGGCCATTGGAGGGTGAGCCAATGTAAAGGAAGACGTTTCTCTCTCACTGTCCACTCTGCCTGTCAAAAAAACAAAACAAAAAAAACAAAAAAACAAAACAAAACAAAAAAACTCCTATCTCCTACAGCACACACACACACACACACACACACACAAAGTCTAAGAATGTTACCCTGAAGTAGTGCCAGGTGAAACTAGGGAGCACAAGGTCCTTTACCCTCCCTTCTGCCTGCTATCATTGGATACTCCTTCTGTTCCTAGTAAATGCATCCTGCCATCTGGTTAAGTTCCACTGTTCCAAAAAATTCAGAAGTGCTTTCCCAGTAATTTCCTCCTTGACTGGTAACAGACTCTGAATCCTGTCCTTCATCCAGGGTGTCCTGTGCATAAGACACCCTTTTCTGTCACCACATTTCATACTACAGCCTGCCTCTGGGGAATCCAAACTTTCTTTCAGGACTAGTGCTTCACTTGCAAAGTATTTTTTCCCTATCCCCTTCTCCTAGGGTCTTCCTAGCTTAATCACTTGTCCTGGACTGAAAGACAAGCTCTTTTCCTCTTAAAGTGTAGTTGGATTGCAAGGCTAATTAGATATTTGGAAAGGAAACTGTAAATACATATTGCCCACCCCCTCCTCCCGACTTGCTGGGATGAGGGCTAGGAAGGATGTGCTGACACTAGCTATTTTCTCTCTGTGTGTACATTGTATAGGAGAAGACCCCCAGTGATGGCTGAGATTAAATATGTCCCATTGTCTTATGTGTAGGATACCTATAGAGACTTAAATTGAGGGGCTGGCACTGTAGTGTGTAGCAGGTAAAGCCACCACCTGCAGTGCCAGCATCCCATATGTGTGCCAGTTTGAGTCCTGGCTGCTCCACTTCTGATCTAGTTCTCTGCTATGGCCTGGGGAATCAATAGAAGATGGCCTGAATCCTTGAGCCCCTGTACTCACATGGGAGACCTGGAAGAAGCTCTAAGCTCCTAGCTTTGGATCAGTACAGCTCTGGCCGCTGTGGCCATTTGGGGAATGAACCAGCAGATAGAAGACCTTTCTCTCTTTCTCTCTCTGCCTTTCTGTAACTCCGCCTTTCAAATAAATAAGTAATTTTTTTTAAAAAAGACTTAAATTGAGCCATAAATATATCACTTATGGTAACTTTGAAGTGAACATTATCTTTCCGAAATACTACAGAATTGAAAAGTTGGAACTTGATAGTTAAGATAATGTCCATGTAGGCTGTGGGAATAATACTCATATTTGCCTTGTTGTTTTAAACGAGGTGGACTGAGACACAGTGAAAGGCCTGGTCTCAGACCACACTGTTGTTAACTGGCTCAGAACTGCCTGGTAGGTCTTTTGTGCTTGCTTTATTCCAGATTTTCCCTGGAGAATTTACTACCTTTAATGTCACCAAGGCATTATTCCATTACAGTGAGTTAAGTATAAATTGACATATTTACTAATGTTATTTGAGATTTTTTTCAGAATGGTTTTTACAAGCTAGTCAGTTTCTGGCATTAATAGATATTTAAGGACTCCAAATAATAATAATGTCTCAAAATGGACTTTGGGATATTGGAAAAGTTTCTTATGGTAGAAAGTCAGCACCATCCTAAATGGAGGATGGGCCAAAGACATTCCCTCTGTTCCCTGTTCTCCTGTCCTTTCCTGGGTGTCCTGACTTGCCCCAACATAAAAAGAGAGGTTCCATTCAGAGGTTTGTGGTTAAAGGAAGATGAGGATGTGAGAGAAAATGTGGTGTAATATTGCAGGCATTTTACCCAGTGTGCTTAACTCTCTAAGAACAGGAAGGTTAGTTTTGTTATGGTTAGAAAATTGAATGATAAGAATCTTTAGAGGAATCTTTTTTTTTGCTGAGAGAAGTGTTGATGTTGGAGGGGGGTCAATTCTAAACTGTTTAGTGAAGATCACATATTATTCTTCAGCTTCACTAAATGTAAGTCTTAATGAGAAAAGCTGCAAATAAGCTGTAAAATAATTTTTAAAATGAGCTGTAATGGGGCCGATGTTGTGACGTAGTGGGTAAAACTTCCACCTGGGATACCAGCATACCATTTGGGCTCTGGTTCAAGTCCCAGCTGCTTCACTTCTGATCCAGCTCCCTGCTAATGGCCTGGGAAAACAGTGGAAGGTGGCCCAAGTGCTTGACCCCTGTACCCACGTGGGAAGCTCCTGCTCCTGGCATTAGCCTGGCCCAATCCAAGCTGTTACTACCATCTGGGGAGTAAACCAGCAGATAAAATCTCTCTCTCTCTCTCTCTCTCTCTCTCTCTCTCTCCCTCTCCCTCTCCCTCTCCCTCTCCCTCTCCTTTCTCGCTGTTGATTCCTCTCTCTGTGTAACTCTTTCAAATAAATAAATAAATCCTTAAAAAAAAAAAAAAAAGTGAGGAGTGATGCCAGGTTATGTGGTGTAAGTGGGGTCAGAGACAGATACAAAGTAATCCTGGAATTAGTTATGAAGATTTGATTAAAAATAGCCCACTAGGAAATACAAGGTTATTTCAGAAAGTTCATGGAAAAATGGAATTATATGAGTTTATTATGGTAGAAAAAATTTTGAAATACATACATAGTTTTTCTCTTCTTTTTCTTTTTCTTTTTTTTATTTAATGAACATAAATTTCCAAAGTACAGCTTATGGATTACAATAGCTTCCTCCCCCCCATAACTTCCCTCCCACCTACAACGCTCCCCTCTACCACTCCCTCTCCCCTTCCCTTCACACCAAGATTAATTTTCAATTATCTTTATATACAGAGGATCAATTTAGCATATATTAAGTAAAGATTTCCACATTTTGCACCCACACAGAAACACAAAGTGTAAAATACTATTTGAGTACTAGGTATAGCATTAATTGAACACCTAAGAGTAACTGTGTATTAATTACAGAGTTCAACCAATAGTTTTAAGTAGAACATAAAATGCAACTTTTGTATTGTTGTGGCTGCCCCCCCCACCCCCCTCCCTCCCGTAGCCCTCCCCTCTCCCACTCCCTCTCCCATCCCGTCCTTCATCACATTTCATTTTCAATTACCTTCATATACTGAAGATCAACTTAGTATATACTAAGCAGGGATTTCAACAGGCTGCACTCATACAACCGAACCAGGTATAGGGTATTGTTCGACTAGTAGTGTTGTTTTTGAGTTTCATAGTTAAACACATTAAGGACAGAGATCCTACGTGGGGAGCATGTACCCAGTGACTCCCGTTGTTGATTTAACAATTGGCACTCTTATTTATGATGTAAGCAATCACCCAAGACTCTTGCTATGAGCTGTCTAGGCTATGGAAGCCCCTTGAGTTCACCAACTCTGAACTTGTTTAGTCAAGGCCGTATCACAGTGGAGGTTCCTTCCTCCCTTCAGAGAAAGGTGCTTCTTTCCTTGATGGCCTGTTCCTTCTGCTGGGGTCTTGTTCACCAAGATCTTTCATTTAGATTTTTTTTTTGCCACCGTGTCATGGCTTTCCATGAAATCCATGCATAGTTTTTCACACTGGCACCCATATGGGGTGCTGGCACTGCAGGGGCTTTACCTGCTACACCATAGCGCCAGCCCCTAAAGCAATAGAGTCTAATAAAGTGCTGTGAAGATGAATAAATGAAGTAAAGTGTAGAGTGCTTAGGGCTTGTCTTATTGGGGACAATTAAGATAGTCTTGCCTTAGGAGATGATGTTTATAACAAGACCTGAGTGATTGGGAACCTTGCTTGAGGGTGGTGTTGAAAAATTATTTTTAGGGGCACTGTGGCGTAGTGGGTAAAGCCACCTCCTGCAGTGCTGGCATCCCATGTGAGCACCAGTTCAAGTCCTGGCTGCTCCGCTTCCAGTCTGGCTCTCTGCTATGGCCTGGGAATGCAGTGGGGGATGGCTCGGGTCCTTGGGCCTCTGCACCCACCTGGGAGACCCAGAGGAAGCTCCTGGCTCCTGGCTTCAGATCAGCACAGCTGTGGCCATTGCAGCCAATTGAAGAGTGAACCAGTGGATGGAAGACCTCTCTTTCTCTCTCTGCCTTTCCTTCTCTCTCTGTGTAACTCTGACTTTCAAATAAATACAAATATTTAAAACAAAAAGAGAAAAAGTGTTTTTATACTCTACTCCATGTTTAGACAGTTGGCCATCTGAAAGGAACTAAATATGATGGTTTATATAATTTTATAACTGAAATGTTATAATATTTTAAGATATTATTGAAAATTAATATTTTAAGATACTATGATTTGCTTGGTGATGAAGTAAATTTATATTAATTACACAAATTACCACCCTGAATTTCTTGTTGTTGCTTGTTTAGATGCAAAAATAGATTTTGACATTTCTGGTTAGACCTTTAAACTCAATTCATTGGACCACACAGGAAATGGGCTCTCTGGCTTAGTGGAGATTGCGTTTGTGACACCATTCTTACCTAACTCATGATCAGGAACAGATGTGCCATCATGTGTGAATACAAACATATGCATGCTGGTGATGGTATAACTTTCTAGAAAAGAAAAACTAGAAATGGCTCATTTCAAGTAACTTGCTGTGTTTCTGCGTTTTTGCAGAAAAAAAATTCATCATGGTAGTAAAGGAAAAGTAGTGGAGAGATTAATTTAGGGAAATCTCTGGTCACTCTTCAGGGATTAGGGGAAATAAGAGGTCCCTAGACTTTGGGAATTTGGTTGGTTTGGACATAGCTAGTTGGTCCAGGCAGTGTTTCCATAGATACTGACACTGGTGTCTTCCCTCTGGCAGGTGGCTCAATCACAAAGGAGTGAGGCAGAAGCGCCTGAATGCCTGGCTGGGAATCAAGAATGAGGATGCCGATGAGTATGTTTTCTCTGTACCTTTCTCTCAGAGGGCTTTGTTCCCACTATAATACGTGGGCCTTCTTTATGCATACTCAAAGTTGATTCTCACTGTCACTTGAGGACATTGAATCAAGAACTTTGTATCTTTTGAATTGAACTGCCTGAAGAGTACCCTTAGACATTTGAATTTGACCTCCTGCCCATAAATCTGCATGCATAAGCACTGCTGTTCAGATATTCACGTTTCAGCTTATTGAATGGACATGTGAACTCTGTGCTTTCTGCACCATAGCAAGTAACAAAGTTGTTTTAAAAAAAAAAACAAACAAGAACTTGAGGCAGGCATTTGGCACAGTGGTTAAGGTGCTGCTTGAGATGCCTGCAACCCATATTGGAGTCATAAGTTCAAGTCCTGGCTCCCTTCCAATTCCAACTTCCTGCTAATGTGCACCCTGGGAAGCAGCAGGTGATGGCTTAAGTTTTTGGGTCCCAGGTGGAGTTCCTGGCTGTTGTCTATGTCTTGGCCCACCCTCTGCTGTTGTGGGCATTTGGGGAGTGAGCCAGTGGATAGAAGATCTTTCTTTGTCTCTATGCCTTTCAAATAAAAGACAATAAGAAGGAAAGAAAAACCAAACACCCAACTAATTGCAATTTTGCTTGTCATTTTATGGTTAAAGATTTACACGAACATTCTCTTCATGATTTTGCTTTTAGGTGTAAGTAACCTTATTATCACAATAATGTTTTAAACATTTAATTTTTAGAACCTATTTTATCAATGAGGAAGATGAAAACCTGCCACATTATGATGAGAAAACCTGGTTCGTTGAGGATATCAATCGAGTACAAGCAGAGGACTTGCTTTATGGGAAACCCGATGGTGCATTCTTAATTCGTGAGAGTAGCAAGAAAGGATGCTATGCTTGCTCTGTGGTGTAAGTCTTCTTATGATTTATGAAATCTTTCGGTTCTTAAGGGGGATATGACCTTTTGAAACCTATTGCAGTGATTAGTAGAAAATCAACCCCTCATACAAATTTACATGAAATTAGTTAAAGTACAATAACCTGTGAGGAGGTATGGCATAGACCATTAATGCTTTTATGAAGAAAAAAGTTTTAGGAGAAATGATATCTGAAATTGTTTTGGAGATGTTAATTTACATAGTAAGTAGATAAAGCTCTATGAGTTGCTGTTGTTAGATTTCAGGAATCTATGATATCTTGAATTGAAAAAAAATCAATTTTTAGTATACTCTTGCAGGTTTAACTTAGTTTCCATTATAGATTAGAGAAGTTTGATTGAATGGAACTATTTTTATTTCAGAAGAAAAACTAAGTTTTTAAATAGTATTTTGTTGAGGTAGTGAAAGAAAAATATGCATGTATTTTCCTTATTATGATCTTATGTACTGCTTAGTAGCTGTGTAAACTTGGGTAAATTACTTAACTTTTCTTTGCCCTGGTTCCTTACCTGTAAAATAAGGGTAATAACAATGATAATAATACTGCTTTGGGGTTTTGTAAGGGTCGTGTGATACAGTATGCTGTATGCTTTGAACAGTATTGGTACAGACTAAGGACATGTTAGTAATCACATGATGATGATGATGTTATTGATGGACATGGAAGAAAGAAAACACAGCTGACAGTGTTTGAACTCTCAGGGAGGGCAAGATGAGCAAGGATAGACAAAAGTCATTCATATTAACAGAGTACCCAGTGCTTATGTGATCATCTTCTCTTCAGTGGTCTACTTGTGTCATGAAGTCAGACTTTGAATCCAAGTTTACCTGTTTTCAAAACCCACATTTTTATATTACACCAGGCTTTGCTCACTTCACAAAATATCCAAGATAAATGAAATGAAATAGTTATTATTAATAGGCCATGGCCGGCGCCACGGCTCACTAGGCTAATCTTCCGCCTTGCGGCGCCAGCACACCGGGTTCTAGTCCCGGTTGGGGCGCCGGATTCTGTCCCAGCTGCCACTCTTCCAGGCCAGCTCTCTGCTGTGGCCCGGGAGGGCAGTGGAGGATGGCCCAGGTGCTTGGGCCCTGCACCCCATGGGAGACCAGGAGAAGCACCTGGCTCCTGCCATCGGATTAGCGCGGTGCGCCGGCCGCAGTGCGCCGGCCATGGCGGCCATTGGAGGGTGAATCAACGGCAAAGGAAGACCTTTCTCTCTGTCTCTCTCTCTCACTGTCCACTCTGCCTGTCAAAAAATTAAAAAAAAAAAAATAGGCCATAAACATGCACACCTGTTAATTCTGGTACAGAAAGAGAAGATGGGGAGGGGGTATTGTGGAAGAGGCATTTGAGCTGGACCTTGACAGGGTGAGTGAGATGTGTATGGGTAGAAAATGGGGGAGAGATGAAGAGTGCATCAGATTACTATTAGATGTAAAACTCCCTGCACCATTTCACTTTGTGTGACCGGGCTGTCAAGTTAACTGAATGGAAGCGACAGGAAAGGATGGTTCTTGCGAGGTTTGGGATCCTTTACAAAAAATAAAAAGGAAGATGGTAAGCCCTATCTCTCATCCTTACCCAGGTCACTGAAGAGCTGCTTATAGGTTAAGAATTGACTGGTGGGAAATCAATGAGTAGCTTGAATGTCTTGGGGAACTGTGCTCTTGTTCTCCTCCATTGAGTACCAGACTTGACCACACTTGCCTGTTAGAACTAACTACAGTCACCCTTCATATTGGATTCTTTATTTATTTTTTTTTTTAAGATTTATTTGTGGGGCTGGTGCTGTGGCGTAGTGGGTAAAGCCACTGCCTGCAGTGCTGGCATCCTTTATGGTGCCAATTCAAGTCCCAGACGCTCCAATTCCTATCCAGCTCTCTGCTATGGCCTGGGAAAGCAGTGGAAGATGGCTTAAGTGCTTGGGCCCCTGTACCTCCATGGGAGACCCGGAAGAAGCTCCTGGCTTCGGATTGGCTTAGCTCTGGCGGTTGCGGCCGTCTGAGGAGTGAACCTCTGCCTCTCTAATAAATAAGTAAACCTTAAAAAAAGAGATTTATTTGTTTATTTGAAAGGCAGAGTTACAGAGAAAGAGAAGGAGAGACAAAGAGAAAGAGATCTTCTATCCAGTGATTCACCTGTCAAATGGCTGCAACAGCCAGGGCTGCGCCAGGTCAAAGTCAGGAGTCGGGAGCTTCTTTTGGGTCTCCTGCATGAGTGCAGGGACCCAGGGATTTGGGCCATCTTCTGTTGCTTTCTCAGGCACGTTAGCAGGGAGCTGGATTAGAAGTGGAGCAACTTGGACTCAAACCAGTGCTCATATGGGATGCTGTCACTGCAGGCTGCAGCTTAACCCACTGAGCCACAGCACCAACCCTAACATACTTGAGTTCTTACTGAGGACATTTGGAAGCAAAGCAGGCTACATCACAGAATCTTCCCCTTGTTTGACAATTACTCTGAGGAAAAGCCTATCTATAGTGGTCTCCCAGTATACTTAGGCTATATACTGAACTGTAGGAATGTAAATAATTTCTGTTTTTTTTTGAAGAGTCTCATAGAAAAATTAAAGTGATCATGTAATAGGACATCAAGACATGCAACTCGTTTTTCCTATGTTAATTTCTGTTAAAAAAAAAAAAAAAGAAGAAGCCTAAGATGAAATTGCTGAACTCCTTAGGATAAAGACATACATCCAGCAGTACATGCGTTCCACCAGGTTGGAGAGTCAGAAATTGAGAACCTGTGATCTTATTGTTGTTGCCATTTTGAAAAATAAGAAATTTGATTAGGGAAAGAACAATTAGACACAAGCTCAACAAGGAAATAGAAGATTTATACCATAAAACAAGTAGACACCTGTAGAATGTTCCACCCAACCTCAAAATACACTGTTTTCAAATGCACATGAAATATCCAGGATAGACCAACCATAAATTGGGCCATAAAACAAATCTCAGTAAATTAAAAAGTATTGAAATCATACAGATTGTGTTCTCCAACCAAAATGGAATGAAATTGTAAATCAAAAACAGAAGGAGGGCAGGCAATTGGTGCAGTAAGCCACTTTTTTTTTTAGGATCTATTTTATTTATTTGAAAGAGTTGCAGAGAGAGGTAGAGACAGAGAGAGGTAGAGACAGAGAGAGGTCTTCCATCCACTGGTTCACTCCTTAGATGGCTGCAACGGCTGGAGCTGCACCAATCTGAAGCCAGGAGCCAGGAGCTTCTTCCAGGTCTCCCATGCAGGTGCAGGGGCCCAAGAACTTGGACCATCTTCCACTGCTTTCCCAGGCCATAGCAGAGAGCTGGATTGGAATAGGAGCAGCCGGGACTAGAACTGGTGCCCATATGGGATGCCAATGCTTCAGACCAGGGATTTAACCCACTTTGCCACAGCGCTGGCCCCAAGTAAGCCACTTCTTGAGACACCTGCATCCTGTATCAGAGTGCCTGGGTTTAAATCCAGGTTCTGCTCCACAGGGCAGCTTCCTGCTAATGCACATGCTGGGAGGCAGCATGTAATGTTTCAAGTGCTTGGGTCCCTTCCACACGCATTGGAGACCTAGACTGAGTTCTGGGCTCCTGGCTTTGGCCTGGCTCAGCCCTAGCTGCTGTACACATTTGAGGAGTGAATGATTGGATGGAAGATCTTTTTGTCTCTGTTTCTAGTCTTTCAAAAAAGAGAGAAGGAAATTTGGAGTAATCACAAATACATTGACAAAAACACATTCCTGGTGAATCAAAAATAAATATACCAGGGGAAATTATAAAACATTTTTTTGGTTTAAGATTTCTATGTTTATTTATAAGGCAGAGTGATGGTGGTGGTGGGGAGACAGAGAGAATCTTCCACCCACTGGCTCACTCTCCAAATTCCTGCAACAATAAGGGCTATATGAGGCTGAAGCCAGGAGACAGGAATTCCATCTAGGTCTACCATGTGGGTGGCAGGAACTCAAGTACTTGGGCCATCATCTGCTGCCTCACAGGCATGTTAGCATGAAGTTAGATCCAAAGTACTGGATAACCAAGATGCAAAGCAGGCACTTTGATGTGGGATGCAGGCCTCTCAAGCAGCTGTTTAACCTGCTGTACCACAATGCCAGCCTCATTATTAAATACTTTGATATGAATGAAAATGGAACCACACCATAGCAAAACTTAGGTGGTACAGCTCAAGCAGGGCTTAGAGGGAAATTTATAGCTGTAAGCGTCTATATTAAAAAAGAACAATCTCAATGATCTTTCTTCTATTAATAAACTAAAAAAGAGCAAAATGAACCCATTCAAGCAGAAGGAAGAAATAATAAAAATTAGAACTGAAGTAAATGAAATAGAGAATAGAAAACAAATGAGAAAATCAATGAAACCAAAAAGTTATTTTTTGAAAAAAAATCCACAAAATGAACAACCGTTAGCTAAACTGGCAGAAAGAACAGAAATTACTAAAATCAGGATGAAAGAGAGGACATTTTTATAGAAACAAAAAAGATAATAAAAGAATTTAAAAAACAATTGTATGCTAACAAATAATTAATGTTTTTTGTTGGACAAGTACCTAGGAGCACAGAGGCTTCCAAAATTGACTCAAGAAGAAACAAAATTTGAATAGAACTATAACAAGTGGGGTCAGTGTTGTGGCACAGTGGGTTAAGCTGCTACCTGCAATGCCACCATCCCATATGGGCTCTAGTTTGATTCCTGGCTGCTTCACTTCCAATTCAGCTCCCTTCTAATACACCTGGGAAAGCAGCAGAAGATGGGAGATTTGAATGGAGTTCTAGGTTCCTAGCTTTGGCCTGGCCCAGCCCTGGCCATTGCAGCTATTTGAGGAGTGAACCACTAGCAGACAGAAGATCTCTCTCTTGTCTCTAACTCTGCCTTTCAAATAAATAAATCAAGATCTTTTTAAAAAAAGAACTATAACAATTAAAAATTGAATTAATCAAAAACTATCCACAAAGAAAAGCTCAGGCTCCAATGACTGTGTTGGTGCATTCTACCAAACACTTAAAAACATTTAACACCAACTGAGACATTGTTCAACTCTTTTTATGAGGATGGTATGACTGACACCAAAAGCAGATAAAGACAGCAAAAACAAAACAAAACAAAACAAAAAACAAAACTATGGACCTTATAAATATAGAAGTAAAAATTCTTTTTTTTTTTTAAATTTTTTGACAGGCAGAGTGGACAGTGAGAGAGAGAGACAGAGAGAAAGGTCTTCCTTTGCCATTGGTTCACCCTCCAATGGCCACCGCGGCCGGTGCACTGCGCTGATCCGAAGCAAGGAGCCAGGTGCTTCTCCTGGTCTCCCATGGGGTGCAGGGCCCAAGGACTTGGGCCATCCTCCACTGCACTCCCTGGCCACAGCAGAGAGCTGGCCTGGAAGAGGGGCAACCGGGACAGAATCTGGAGCCCCAACCGGGAGTAGAACCCGGTGTGCCGGCGCCACAAGGCGGAGGATTAGCCTAGTGAGCCGCGGCGCTGGCCAGAAGTAAAAATTCTTAACAATCCTTATGAAAATCCATAAAAACTCTTAACAATAAACAACTCCAGCAGCATAACAGCATTCATTCCAGGAATGCAAGGATGGTTCAATATGGAAAAAAATCAATTGATGTGATAACTCATGTTAATAGAATAAAGAACCAAAGCAAACGATAATCTCAATAGCAGCACAAAAAAAAAAAAACATTTGACAAGGGCAATTGATGATGCACCCCTTTAGATTATGTTTGGGATGCCCAGATCCTATGTTGGAGTGCCTGGTTCAAGTTTCAGCTCCTCCATTTCCAGTCCCACTTCCTGCTAATGCATTCCTTGGGAGGCAGCAGATGATGGCTCAAGTACTTGGGTCCCTGCCACCGACATGGGAGACTCATATTAAATTCCAAGCTTGGCAGTTTATGTCTGGCTCAGCCCTGGCTATTTGTGGACATTTAGGGGATGAACCAGCAGATGGATAATCTGTCTTCTGTTTCTCTCTCTCTCTCCCTTTCAAATACAATGAAAATATCTTAATGTTTAAAAGGTGTTTGACAAAGTCCAACAATCTTTCCTGTTAAAAAACATTCAATAAACCAGAAATATGAGGGGACTTCCTCAACCTGATAAAGTTATCAATGAAAAACCCACAGCTAACATCATATTTAATGATGGAATAATGAATGCTTTTCTCTAAGATCACGATAAGATACAGATACCCATTCTAACCACTTTTGTTCTTCATTGTACAAGAGAACAGTTTTAGCAAGAGAAAGAAATAAAAGATACCTGATTAGCAAGGAAGAGGTAAACTGTTACAAATAATAGGTTAGCAAGGTTGCAGGTTACGAGATACAAAGGTGTACTTGTGTATACCAGCAGTGGACCATCCAAAAATGAAATTGAAGACAGACATTTACAATAAATACAAAATGATGAAATACTCAGGAATAAAACAAGAAATATAGGGGTTGTACACTAAAAATTATAAAACATATTTGAAAGAAATGTTAAAAGGACCTCAATAAATAAATCCTGTGTTCATGGATCAGAAGACTTAATGTTGGGATGTCAGTACTTCCCAAATTGATCTGCAGTCCTATGAAAATCCCATCTGGGTGTTTGCAGAGATGGACAAGATGATCCTAACTTTCATATGGAAATGCAAGAGACCCTGAATATTCACAATAATAGAAAAAAGAAAACAATAGAAAAAATAGTAGTAGTCACATCTCATAATTTCAAAATTTACTACAAAGCTGAATTAATCCAGACTGTGAGGTGCTGACATAAGGATAGTTCTATAGATCACTGAATAGAATTGAGTTGACAAACAAGCCTTTCCCTCTTTGGTTAATTATTAGCATGTAGTTATATCCGTGGCCAAGTACGAGGAGTTGGGGGCAGTGCAATTTTGCAAGCTTTGATTGACAGGACACTTCCATGCATAACAATTACTCTCCCACTTTGGGCCACTCATTGTCCTTTCACATGCTGTTCTGTCCCTCACCATTTCTCCTGTGGTGTTTCATTGCAGCGCTGACGGGGAGGTGAAGCACTGTGTGATCTACAGCACCGCGCGGGGCTACGGCTTTGCAGAGCCCTACAACCTGTACAGCTCGCTGAAGGAGCTGGTGCTCCATTACCAGCACACGTCCCTGGTTCAGCACAACGACTCCCTCAACGTCAGGCTCGCCTACCCCGTCCACGCACAGATGCCCTCGCTCTGCAGATAAAGAGGGAGTGGGGAGAGAGGTGGCTCTCTAGCATTTTTTTTCTACAGTTTTTATTCGACTCCGATGAGGGCATTCTTTCTACGTAGACTGCTTGTTTTGCACAAGAAGTGATTCTGTGAATGTGAAGTGGAGAGGCCGAACAGCAGCTGGCCAGTGTGGGGGCCTAAGAGGCCTGGGGTTCTGTGGGACTCGGCTGTGCTGCCACATGGACATAATCAACTGGAAGCAGATGTGGTTTGTGGAAGGTCTGTTTCATTGGGATTTTTGTTTCTGGTTAGCCAGGCACTCTCAACAGAACATGGTGGGCTGGATGGGGGTAGGATTTGAGGGTTGCATTTGGAAGCCTCTGCAGAGTCCATGGCCTCTTTTGAGCACCATCTCTGAGGTGCCACAGGGCCATGGGTCTGTTGGGAATTCTGTTTTGCTCTGACAGTCTTTCTTCTCTGTAGAAGTCTGACAGTCTTCTTCCTGTAGAAGGCTGTTTTGATTTCGTAGTAGAATGGGATTTGGTGAAAAAAACAACCAAAGGAAAATGGGAAGGCTTGGATTTCATTTAAAGACTAAGCCAAGGGAGTAAAAATGTTCAACAGAAGGTACTTCTTTCTTACCAACATAATTTAGGCTTCAGCATCTCACTAGCTCCTCCCTCTAAGAAGCATTATTTTCAGAAACCAACAAAACAGTATTTGTGATGGGAGAAGGTGGCACTAGTGGCTGAATGCACATTTCTATACCAAAACTTGAAAAGGACAACTAGAATCTATGAGTTTTAGCAAACACTAAGATTGATCAGTGAACTCCTTCTGCCCTGCCATTGTTTCTCAACATTTTCTTTTTCTTTTTTTCAGTAGGGATGGTGAGATAAAATGAAGTTGGTGCTTATGTGGTATTTCCTTAGCCTAAAGAATGATCTGTTGTTTGAAACTTTTGTAACTTGTTTGAGTAAAGAAAAGGTGCAATCCAGTGCTTGTAGATGGCTTCATATACCAAATGACAACCCAGAACAGCAGTCCTACACGTGCTTCCTCGAGTTTAAAGGCCCTGCAGGAACAGTAGATATCCTTTAATTTTCCTTTGTCTGCCTCTCCTTTGCTGGGTAGGGTGTTGGGAACCACAGGAAGCTAAGAAGGGGAATCGGACTGTGGTGAGGGACCTCCGTAAATCAGACCCTGGGGCCCTGGTGTCCAGGGTCAGGGTCATACCACATTACACATGTGCTTCCATACCGTGGTTTCTGAAGCTTCTGCAAGGAGAGAAGATGGCCTGTGGTTTAGACTTAGTAGACGCCATCTGGAAGCCTTTCTCTGCCTGTTTCGTGATCCTGCCATTGAGGCGATGTGCAGTCTGCCCTTATGCTCCAGTGGTTGTGACTTTAGCCGGGGAGCTTCTGCCCCATGTGGTCTGAGCCTTCCAGCTGAGTGAAGCTGGCGAATGGGGGCAGGGAGGGGCGCAGGCATCCACCCTGATTCCATTGTGCCCCACACTCATTAGTCAGAACTCATTTGACAAATAGAGTCCAGCTGCCTGCCAGCCCAGCCTGGAAGCATAATGGGCTCAGAGTGAGTCAGCTGTTTGAGCCTAAAGCTGTGCAGTGAGGCGTCCCAGCTGAGTCAGAGAAGCAGCCAGTCCCTGGGTCTTGGTTCATAAGGCTTACAGCTAGGAAGGCTCAAATCTGGGGGCTGAAAGAAAGCAAGTCCTACTTTTCCCTGAGCACTCGGGTGACAGGGTCTACAAGGGACCACAGACAGACAAATTGTTGAAGAGACCTCCAGAGCTGCGGCAGTGATGCAGGCCAGGAAAGGGCGCCTTGGCTGTCCTGGTCCCTGTTGCTGTTTCAGGACTGGGTAAGGCAAAGACACATGAAGCCTCCTCTGTGTCACAGATAGCGGGCGCCCCCCTTCCCCAGACTGCAAGATGAAATCTTAAAGTGTTACTGTAATGCCAAGCTAATTGCTGCAGGACACACCTGAGTGGCTTGGCACCTGCTTAAGCAGTGGGATGCTCAAGATTGGGTGCAAGGACTCCCTCCTCTCTGGTACTAAAACGTTAGCATGTTCTACTGTCTCTTTCAGAAGAAACCAAATGGGACTGAGGATACATATTTCAGTGTTGAACAGTGTGGCTCCACCGTGCTGGGCAGACACTGACGGGGTGTGGGGAGACAGCGAGCCCCATCTTGTTACTGAACTGGGGATGGCTTGTGGATACAGGCTGTCCCCCACCCCACCCTCCCAGGCCCCTGGGCCATACACACATCCCTTCACTTTCCTTTCTTATTTTTTGTTATTAGAATCATTGCTTTGTGGGATCCAAGACCCAGGGATCATTTGAGAAGTTGGAAGTTATCTTTTCTGAACCTTGTCACATGATTGGCTTGCTCCTAAGCAAATGGAAATGGCACAGGGACCAGTCTGCTAACCACTGGGCCTGGTATGTGGGGGGCAGTGCGCTGCTCCGCTACCCGCAGCTTGGGAACAGGTGGCAGCCTTCTTCATGTGAGTGGAGGTCTGTGTTCTGCCCCACGATCTGGACCCTGGGGCTCCCTCTCTCTCGGTATTGTAACTGCAGTCTCACTGAGGCAGAGGATAAAGAGACAGATCAAGACTAGAGGGACTCACTATTCTCCTGGCTAAGAGAAGCCAACCAGCAACAGGAAACCAGCTTGGGGCTGGCCGGACACGGGCCCCAGGCCCATTTTCTTCATGTGGAGCTTTCATTACCAAACGGTGCCATCTCTGGCATCAGCTTGGCCGTGGCTCAGGGCTGGAGGGGTTGCCCAAGTCCTATCCAGTGATCTGGCCAAGGACGAGGACTTCCTAACACCCCACTCTGCCCTTTGCAAGCCCCGCTGGGCTCTCCCTCTCACTGTGGGCCTCGTATGCTCTGAAGCAGCGTTGAGAGCCAGTGTGGTTCTGCCACGAGTCTCTTCTTGCTGCAGGGAGTCAGCCCTGTTTGTTCTTGAGCCAGGAATTGCACATAGGCAGCTCCTGATTTCTAGGTCCCTGCTGCCGGCTAAGAACCCAGAGTCAGTCTCTGTGAGGGGTCGGAGGCCTCAGAAACCAGCGGTCCGGATAGGGGCTTGCCTGGGCCCTCTGCTGCCAACTGCTCAGCCTCGCGTTAGCTCCAGCCACTTGTGACAGCCCACCTCGTTTCCTTACTAATTCCAATTCCAGCATGTGACTTTGGTGCCCTGTTGTTACTTGTGAAAAATCTTCTGTTGTCTTTGATGTAGTCAAAAAAATTTCATGTAGTTTTCGTAAATATCTGGTTCACAAGGAAGCCACCTTGTATGTCTTGTGTTGGGACAGTTCATGATGTAGTTCCTAGACCACTTTTGCAAATTGTTCTTGTCACCAGGTGTGTTCAGACATTGCTGTGCAGTTGTGGGGGAGGGAGGGGGAAGGTGAGGGGTGGTACTTTCTGGTCGTTTTGTTTTTTACCTTCCCCAAGAGGGGGACAGTCTGGCCAACTTGCTCCAGTAACGCAATAAAGACGTTGCAATAAAGCACCTTTGTTTTCATGCTGTGGAGGGGTGGGGTGAAGACAAGCCCTTGAAACTCCCAAGGAGCCGGCGCTGTGGTGTACCAGGTAAAGCCGCCGCCTGCAGGTCCGGCATCCCATATGGGCGCTGGTTCAAGTTCTGGCTGCTCCACTTCCGATCCAGCTCTCTGCTATATCCTTGGAAAGCAGTGGAGGATGGTCGAAGTCCTTGGGCCCCTGCACCCGTATGGGAGACCCAGAAGAAGCTCCTGGCTCCTGGCTTCGGATCAGTGCAGCTCCAGCCATTGCAGCCATCTAAGGAGTGAACCAGTGGATGGAAGACCTCTCTCTCTTTCTGCCTCTCCTTCTCTATATAACTCTTTCAAATAAATAAAGAATTCTTAAAAAAAAAAAAATAGAAGTTCCTAAACTTTCTCTACAAGAAGCAGCAAAAGACAGTCCTGGAGCTGAACTGGGGCCAGCAGAGGTGCTCTGCCCCTGAGAGGAGGCCGTGCGTCCTCCTAGAGTCCCGTCCGCCCGACACAGGACGCAGCAGAGCCAGGCGTTCAGAGAAAGCCAAATCTGAGCAGCCCCCTCCCCACTCCGCCCACTCCTGACTCCTAAGTCCAGTTTATTGGTTCTTAAAACATAATTTCTGCCCAGAAGTGACGGTTTCCATATTCTATCATATCCTGTTCTGGCAGCAGGGGAAATGGGTTGAGGCTTACAAAGCCTGTCCCCTTCTTGTGAACACAGCAAATTTGAGAACCTCTTGCGGTATAGGACACCGCAGCTCACCCATGTGTACTCATAAAATCAGACTGGGTAGGGGAACACTCAGTTATTCTAAATGGCCCTGCCTGTGGCCTTCCACCCTACCATATACATAGCTACAAGCACCTCCTAAGGCTACTGGAACTATGGATGGAAGATTGCCCTTAATCCCGAGGTGTTCCCACTTCTGTGTTTAGAACTCATATTCCCATCACCTGCCCAGGCCTCTTTTGCACTCTGCTGGCTGCATGTCGCCATGGGAACCTGAGTGTCCCACAGGCACTTCAAACTTGTGTACTGCACAGAGAAAAGCTAAGGTTGGCCATGAACTCCATTCCCTTCCTACCACCAAACCCACCATCGTGTCTGCCCACGTAACTCCTCTCTGTCCCGCCTGTCCTTGAACTAAAGCCGATACCTCCACACATCTTTGGGATTCTGTTTTCTCTCACTTTTACAGAAAGTTCCTGTGATCGGTTCTTTCCTCTTCGCTGGATCACCCCACTGACTTAAGAGTGTGTGTCTCCTGCTTCCCCACACCCTAGTCAATACCAAATCTGTTTCTTTTCAAAGCCAAGCCTTTGCCAAGAGCTTCCAAGGTCTGTTTCCGTACCTCCAGCGTTTCAGCGTAGCGTCCATCGTCACTTGAGACTGCTCTCCTTGGTGCCGCCTTCGCTAAGCAGCAGTCTCCACGCAAGACCGCGCCCCATCTGACCCCGTCACGACCCGCTCACCTGGCTTTCCTCAGACATCTGTTCCTCTTAACTCTCCTTTTCCAGGCTTCTTTTCACTTATGCCTTTTTTTCCTGGCAGCTTTCTGCACACCTAAGAATCCACCTAGCATTTCAAGGCCAATTAGGTCTCCTGCCTGGGCGTCTACTGGCAAATACCTCAGACTCAGCACACTGAACACAGCACTGAGGGCAAGGTCACCACCGGCCCTGTTCTCTTCCACTGTTTCTATTTCAGTGAACAGAAATACAATCCATCCTGTTACAGCCTCATTAATTTTACCTTCTGAATATCAAAACATCACTTTTTTTTTGACAGGCAGAGTGGACAGTAAGAGAGGGAGAGACAGAGAGAAAGGTCTTCCTTTTGCCGTTGGTTCACCCTCCAATGGCTGCCGCGGCCGGCGTGCTGCGGCCAGTGCACTGCGCTGATCCGATGGCGGGAGCCAGGTGCTTCTCCTGGTCTCCCATGGGGTGCAGGGCCCAAGCACCTGGGCCATCCTCCACTGCACTCCCTGGCCACAGCAGAGAGCTGGCCTGGAAGAGGGGCAACCAGGACAGAATCCGGCGCCCTGACCGGGAGTAGAACCCGGTGTGCCAGCGCCACAAGGCGGAGGATTAGCCTAGTGAGCGGTGGCGCTGGCCAAAACATCACTTCTAACTTCGCTGTTACACTACCATCTCTAACCTTAATCCTGGAAGGCCTCCCTTTTCCAGTCTTGCCTGCCTCAAATCCATTCTCATTATAGCAACAAGTTATCTTTCCAAAATACAAATCCGAGCCTGTGCCAAACATGACTTTTTAATTGTTCTTTGATCACAAATGTTATGAAATATTCTGGCTTCTCCCGGATTCAGGCTCTCATCCCCCTCTTTGTTTTTATTGGCTCAGTCTCCCCATCTTGGGCCTTTTGTCTGTACTTTCCCTGGACAACCCTCACCTGTAGCTTTTGTTTGTTTTTGTGAGAGACAGAAAGGTCTTCCTTCCGTTGGTTCACTCCCCAAATGGCCACCACGGCCAGCATTGCGCCAATCCGAAGCCAGGAGCCAGGAGCCTGGTCTCCCATGCGGGTGCAGGAGCCCAAGCACCTGGGGCATCCTCAATTGCCCTCCCGGGGCACAGCAGAGAGCTGGACTGGAAGAGGAACAACCAGGACTAGAACCCAGTGCCATGTGGGATGCCAGTGCAAGTTACACACACACACTGGGGGGTGGGGGGGGTCCATCCGTTGGTTCACTCCCCAATTGCTGGAGCTGTGCCAATCCAAAGCCAGGAGGTGAGAACTTCCTCCGGGTCTCCCACACAGGTGCAGGGGTCCAAGGACTTTGGCCATCTTCTGCCTTCCCAGGCCATAGCAGGGAACTGGGTAAAGTGGAGCAGCCGGGACTTGAACCAGCGCTCATACGGGATGCTGGTACTGCAGGCAGCAGCTTTACCTGCTATGCCATGGTGCCAGCCCCTTCCTGTAGCTTTAATCACCATCTGTTTCCTGAGGGCTTCCAAATTCATATGTCCAGCCGCCCACACTCTTCTTCCTTCCTCAGACGGGGATTATCTCCTCACTGCTGCTGTCTTAGCTCAAGCCATGATAATGGGTTCCTCATTCCGTCTCCGGCCTGCTTCCTTCATCACTAGTCATCTTCCTTCAACATGACCTGATGCCACTTCCCTGGTTATTTTCAGAAATGCCTCACTCCTGGAGTATAAAGCACCAGTGTCTCAGGGGGGAGCGCCACTGGCACTGGGGGGCAGCTGCCTGTCTATTCTGGGATGCTTAGCATCTCGCACCCTCATTTCCAAATCCCTACTTCTGCAGTTCCCCTAACGGCAGGATGGTGTGGTGCTTCTGATCAGATCCTGGAACACATGGCACCCTCTGCCCTTCCTGAGACAGCGACCTGTGATGTGTCTCCCTAGTGGAAGGAAGACTGGAGAGAGGGCATGTGGCAGGGCAGGAAGGTGCTGTTTGGGATGCCCACATCCCATATAGGAGTGCTTAAACTTGGCTCTGCTTCCAATTCCAGCTTCCTGCTAACGCAAACCTTGGAAGGCAGCAGGTGATAATGGGACAACTACTGGTCCCTGCCACCCATGTGGGAGACCCTGGTTGAATTGTTGTTGGGGTTTGAGTGACCCAGCAGATGGGAGGTCTGTTTGTCGCAAGTTAATTAAGAAGATAAAACTGCTGGGAGGCTGAGGAGCCCCATGTCCCCAACAGGTGGGAGCTGCTTCTGTGGTCAGAGTGCGCCCTCTGGTGGCCAGCCTTCCTTGTGCAAGGTGGTAAAGAGCTGAGGTGTTTTCCTAATACCTCCTTCAGACCTAGTTACTGGCTCAGGGGGCAGCCAGTGAGGACCATTCCACACACGCAGGCAATCCTCTTCAGTGTGGGAACTCCGCCAAGCCCACTCCCTGCCCCGTGACGCCATCTGCTTCCTGATTCCCCCAGTGCCCTGGTCCGAGGAGTGTCCTGCCCCTGTCTTCCCCACCACCCACCACCAGGTACCATTCTATTCACAGGGGGTGCACACTGCCGTGTCAACCTCCGGCGCTGAGGCATGCTGGGCGGCAGCCCGGGCGGGCCCACCGGCTGCTCACAGCGGAGACTTAGCACATCTCACAGGCCCTTTTCTGTGTTCACCCCACCTGACCTCTGCACTCCATCAGGCAACTTCTCCCTCTACTCAAAATCTTTCCTCTCAATACATCCCAGGTCCAACTCCTTGCCTCCCTGTACCTCCTGGATGTCCAAGTGGGTTCCAGAGTCAAGAGATCCCTCGGCTCTGATCCCAGCTCTGTGACCCTGGGCAGGAAAACCCGAGCTCCCAACCCACCGGGCAGGACTGTGAGTGGCTACATGGCCTCGTGCTCCTCCTGCCCCCCTACACAGCCCATCAGGTGTGGCCTTTGACCACCGAGTCCCTTGCAGCTGCTGTCCCTTGCCGGGACATTCTTTCTCCACCTCCAGCAAACTACTGTCCCCTCTTCGTAATGTCTGAGCTCAGACGTCAGTCTCTGGAAAGTCAAGGTGGGTTAGGGACCCTGCCCCTCAGGGTGCAAACTCTCATTCACTACTGCATCCCCCGCAGCAACACAGCCCTGGAGTTAATGTGCTGACTGAAGGAAAGAAACAAGCAAAACACATCCAGATGGTTTCCAGGAGCATGTATTACACAAGTCTGAGTGCAAGAAATGGCAAACAGTTGCTATGTCTGCTTTAAAAGCGCATCTGGTGCCGAGTCCTGACGCTCCGGATGGCCCCCCGGCCCCCTGCTCCTCCAGAGCACGCCGAGGCCAGTCTCTCGGGTGGCGGGGCAGCTGCTGCACGGGACCTCCTGCCTCCTGTCACCCGAGGCATCAGGCACTGCAGTGATGCCCAGGGATGGCTGCGCTCTCTCTCCTTGTACACACACAGGCTCCCAGAGCCAGCTCTGGCTGGGGGCCTCGCAGGGTGGACGGGCCGCGCCAGGGTCAGCAGGTGCCTGGGACTTCACCGCCTGCTTGAGCGACAGGTCCTCCCGGTGGGCTGCAGCTGGAGCTGTGGCTTCCAAATCCCGCCGGCTGCCCAGCCCACCTCCCCCGGGGGCCTCTCTGCTGGGGGACGCCTCGCCAGGGCCCTTGGTGAGGCATTTCCAAGGCCACCTGTCCGGGCTCGCAGAGGTGCAGGCGGCAGCAGAGTGACTGGTGGGTCTGAGTTCTGAGGAGCTGGGACAAAGTGCTGACGGTGCCTGGCCGTGGAAGTGCCGGGCCTTCCAGCAGCCTTCAGGGGGGTGGGGGGCTGTGGGCCCAGACCTACCCGGGCCGGGGGCTGCTGAGGAAGGCCTGCTGGCCTCCTCAAGGGCTTGTGGGCTCCCAAGCTTCCTCTGGGCAACAGTGGGCCCTTCGATTCTGGGAGGACCCAGCACGACCCCTGTCAGCAGGCCTGGGACCGCTGGCCCCTGGGCCCTGGGCAAGCAGGCGTCCTCTCCCCCGCCCTGCCCTGCTCCTCGGAGGGGTGGGTTCTGGCCCGCTTCCGGGTTAGGGGCCGAGCCGGGTGCGAGCCTTCCCTGGCCCTCCTCAGGCCCCTCGTCGGCGTCATCCTCCGAGGAGTCCACCTCGCGGATAGCTTCCTGCTTCTGCAGCGACTCCCGCCGCTCAGCTCGGTCCTGCCGGAGGGTGCCCAGGGCCCTTGAGGGAGCTGGCGGGAGCACCCCCTTCCCCGGCAGTGCCCCCTTCCCAGACAGCACGCCCCTGGTGCCAACGCCTTCCAGAGGGCTGGCTTCCCGGGGCGGCAGCTCCTTCTTGAGCTCCGAATGGGGCAGCTCCAGGCTATGCTTGCGGGACGCGGCCAGCTTCTCGGCGGCGGCGAGCGCGGCCGCCAGCTTCTCGGCTGACTGCACCCTCTTAAGCAGCGGTGAGCGCGGTGGCTCTGCACTCTTGGGCCGCGAGAGTTGCCTGCCCAGGGGCGGTGACAGGTGCAGCTTGGCAGGGAAGGCCTGGGCTCCGTGGCCAGAGAGGGGCGACGGGGAACGCTGCGGGGAGGACGCTGGCGGCGGCGAAGGCGTGTGGGCCAGTGGCGACAGAGGGATGCTGCCGGCTGACTTGCGCCGAGGTGAGCGGTACTGGCGCTGGAGCTTGGGCGCCAGGCCGTGCAGGGAGCTGGGCCGGGTGTGGCCGGAGCCAGCTGGGGAGCTGGGCACGCTGGAGCTGGGGGAGCTGCTCTGTGAGGAGCTGCCTCCCACTTTGTGAAACAGACACAAAGGCAGAGTGGTGGCGGCTGTTAGAAGTGACGGAGGCTCTGCAATGTCCCAGGACTGTCAAGGTTACCCCCCACCCCCAGTGGGCCAGAGCATAGGCCAACAATTTTCTCCCCAAGATTGCTGGATTCAGGGGTGGGTGGAAGGCAGAACCCGAGTGGGACATGCGGGACGCACGGAGAGCCCGGACGCTGTCCCGTTTGCCGTGCGGGAGCCCCTCGTACCTGAGTGCACGGCCTCGGCGGTCACGCGGTAGCCCTGGGTGGGAGACCGGGGAGAGAGGCTGTGGCTGTGTGTGGGGGAGCCCGGGCCGCTTTCCCCTGATGACAAGGAGCGGTTGAGGGAGGAGAGGCTGCGGCTGGTGTGCAGCAGGGACGCCTGCTTGGTGATCTTCCGGAACAGGGAGCTCCGCTTTCTGTTGCAGAGGCGAGCCAGAGGCTGAGTGAGTGCCTGACGCACAGCGCACGCGGGGCCGGCCAGCCGTGCAGACTGGCACCCGGGCGGCTCAGAGAGAACTGGCAGTCTAAGCCAAGCTCACCTTTCCTGGCCATCCTTGGCCCTGCTTCGCTTGCTTCTTCGGGCCATCTTGGCCTTGTAGCTGCCTTTCCGAGCTGGTCCCACTTTAATGGAAGTGTTCTCCAGGGGAGTCGTCGTAATGGACACCTTGTTTCCACTCTGGAGCACAGTGTGAGGTCTGGGCTGAGGCGGGCCGTACACACCCCCTGCCCTGGCAAGGCCGCAGTACAGTCCCAGCTGCTGCCCTTGCACCAGCACAGCCCTGCTCCCCTCCCCTGCAGCAAAGAGCTCCCACTGGGTCCTCCCGGAGGACAGAGAAGCAGCTCACCTGTCCTGCCGGCGGCTCAGGAGGTCAGCGAGGGTGCTGCCTTCTGGAGACCACCAAGCCGTGTGTTTTCCTGCACCTGTCCTCAGTGCCGAGTGTGTGCGTGTCCAACCCTCCCAGTCCCCTCGGGGCAGCAGAGCCTCCCAAGGCTGGGGACGCCCAGGAACCACAGGGGAGGCACCCAGCACTAACCTTCAAGATCAGCTCCACCACCTCGGTGTGCACCAGCCCGTGCACGGGCTCCCCGTTCACGTGGGTGATGAGGTCGCCCTGGCGGAGCCCTGCCTCGCTGGCGGGGCCTCCGTCCTCCACGTGCTGTGGCAGGAAGAGAACTGTCCTCAGGCTGCAGACAGCATCGTGAGGCCCTGGCTTGCTCACGAAGCTGTGAATCCCTTCCCGTCACCCTCTGACCCCTGTTGGGAGTGCAGGGAGTGTGGGCAATGACAGAAGCAGAGACAGACAGGCTCCAGGAGGGAGACACGGGGGTGAAGCTGAGACAACAGGTCTGGAGGGCCACACGTACCCACACCATGTGGTGCACAGTGTAGACATCTGAGTCACCCATGTAGACACGAATGGCACGCAGGGTGAAGCCATACTTCTTGCCAGCTCGGTGGATGACGATGGGAGGCCTCAAGCTGCCGAGGGCTGGCAAGAAGTCCCTGCTTGGAGAGGAGTCCCTGGATGACGGGTTGGATGACAGAGAATGTGGGGACATGGGACTGGCCAGTGGAGAGCAGGCGTGGTGCTCTGAAGAAAGAGAAGTCGCAGGTCGGTGGGTCAGAGGCCTCGGCCTGATCACGCGCCCGGCCTGCCCCTGTCCAGTGTGTGGTCCAGCACAGCTCCAGTCACAGACACACTTCCCCCGGAGCCCCTGATCTGCAAAGCCCTCTCCTGTGCCCAGATCCCTCCAGGCCAGCGAGGGGGAGTGGCAGCTGGCATCTCGGTATCAGGAATGATGCAAACTCTTCATGCATATTTAAATGTCACAATTATCCTAAGAACTAGCCATTATTAATATCCATATTTTTGGAGGCCACTGTTGTGGCTCAGCAGGTTAAGCCACTGCCTGAAATGCATATGGGCGCTGGTTCAAGTCCTGCCTGCTCTACTTCTTATCCAGCTCCCTGCTAATGTGCCTGGGAAAGTAGCAGATGACCCAAGAGCTTGGACCCCTGCACCCACATAGGGGACCCAGACAGAGTTTCTGGCTTCAGTCTGGCCAGCCCTGGCTAATGTAGCCATTTGGAGAGTGAACCAGCAGGTGGATGATCTCTCTCCATCTCTGTAACCATGCTTTTCAAATAAATAAAATTAAAAAAAAAAAAAAAACTTTTTGATGAGCAACTTAAGGCTTAAATGGGTTAAGTAACCTGTTCAAGGTCAAAGAGCCAGCTGCTCATGGACCCAGGATTCCAGGATCAGCTCTTGACCTCAAAGCCCGCATGAGCTGCCTGGTCATTCGGCCTTGTGGCATGTGCATACCTCTCCAGACCCCACGCACATCCTCAGAGACCTCCAGGTTCATAACAAAGGGACAGAGTCTCTCAGGCACCCACTCCTTGATACGCACACACAAACACTTGCTGTGGGCCTCCAGGCCCGAGGCCCTTCCTGTGAGTTTAGTCCTAGCTCCCCAGAGGGCCTCACCTGCAGGGATGAGAAGGGAAAGGGCTGTAGCCGAGGCGGACTTGATCACTTTGTTGATAGGGCGTGTGGCGCGCTTCTCTAGAGAGTCCCCAGAGAGCAGCCGGTGGCGGGCCCTGCGCACAGCCAGGTCACTGATGGCCTTGGATGTGGCTCCCTCAGCCAGGTGCAGGGTACTGTGGCCTCGGGTCTCCATGGCTGTGGGCCCAAGCAAGCAATGAGATCCAAGATGTAGGTGAGCCTCCCTTCCTGCAGCGTCCCCCAGGCTGGGCCCTGTGGTCACCAACTGGGCCACACCTGGACTGGAACTACAGCTCTGGCCAGCAGGCTCCTCATCCAGCTTCAGCCACCGCTCCACAGGCCGTTCGGGGACAGGCCCAGGTACCCCCTCTCCAGACGGGGGTGTCAGAATCCATATTCCCTCCTGCTGCTGCCTCCTGGGGGTGCTGCTGGCCTCTTCAGGGCCCTCAGGGAAGCGAGGCCCCTCCAGGAGGCCTGAGCAACGGCGCCGCACTGTCATTGGAGGACTCGAGTCACTCTCCGTGTGGGACGACTCGGACACGGACAGCCGCTTCCGCAATCTGGGGGACACAAGGCTGGCGTGAGCAGGCCCGGAAGTCTCCTTGGGGGCCACCCCTCTCTGCCACCCAGTGTCTCAGTCTCTCCCAAGCTCTGTGGCAGCCAGAGGATGGCTGAGCCGCAGGTGCTCACATCTCAGGGGAGCCAATCACCCAGCCCCGGTCCCGGCCCTTCAGCCCTGCCAGGCCATCCGAGCGCTCCTCCTTCTCCTCGCTCAGGCTGCGCTTGGTGGGGGGCGGCGTCCGGTGCTCCTCCAGCAGTGTGAGCCGCTCCATGCTGCTGTACACCTGCGGGCAGGCGACAGCCGCGCCTGTAATGGCCACACATCCCCGAAGGGGCAGAAGGTGCCCCGGGCACCTGAAACCCAGGAATCTGAACCAGTCCCTTCCCTGCCCACGTGACCCAGGTGAGGGAGGGAGCAATTCTGTGAGTGTGACCTGGCCTCACTCTGGTGTCAGGCACTAGAGTGGCAACCCCGTCTCCAGCTCCCTGAGCTGCCCCAGGCCAGGTCCCTTGACAGGACCTCTTCCAATCATGCTGGGGGCGGGGGCCCTCAGTGCACCTTGCTGAACCGTGGAGAGCAGGAAGAGAACTGGCGGATCTCAAGGCAGCCGTCCTCACTCACTTCTTCCTCGTCCTCTGAATCCACGTGGTGGTACCGCTCGGAGCGCGCTGGACCAGGAATAGGACAGTTCCCTCCAGAGCCCTGCTCATGGCCTTCCTGTGACCTCATGAGATCTCAGCAGGGCCCTGAGAAGTTGCTCCCAATGCCAAGCTCAGTGTGTATAAACTTTTCGGGGCCAACAGGCAGGACCTGTGTCTCCCCTCTCCCCCCAGTGGCGGCCTTACTGTCAAAGTAGCTGGTGTCATCCTCTGACTCCAGCTGAGGAATGAACTCAGCCTTCTGACGCAGAAGCCCTGTCCAGTCCAGGCCCGTGAAGAACGGGTGCTGCTTCACCTCACAGGCACTCCCTGTGGACGGGGATGGGCGTGGCCAGTCAGCCCTGAAGGCTCAGCTCCCCTTCCTTTCCCTCTCTGCCCACAGCTCCAGGACCGAGGGGCAGCCCACATCTGAAGCCTGCCCTCCAGGGCACACAGACTCAGGCTCCCTGCTGGTGAGCGAGGGCAGTGGGCCCTGGCCTACCTGTGCCCAGTCTCTCCAGAGGGTTCTGGTGCAGCAGTTTGGAGGTGAGGTCCTGGGCATCTGGGGGCAGCGCGTCATCACCCTCAGGCCACACAATGTCGTCTGGAGTCACAAAGGGTGTGAGGGTGAGGAGACGTGGGGAGAGCAGGGAGAAGGGGTCCCAGTATAGTGCAAGGAAGGGAGCATAAAGGGCCCCATCCAGAGCCCTAAGAAACTTTGCCTGCGACCCCAGTTCCTTAAGTTTGAAGGTTCCTTCCCTCCCGGAGAGCCTCACACACCCTAGACCTTGGCTTGAGCACTGCAAAACAGTGATTCCCCCCTCCCCGCCCCGCTCTGAGGCCCCAGCTCTCTCTGGCTTCGTACCCAAGACACGCACTCACAGGAACGCAACACTGGACCACCGTGCCCACATGGGGGATGCATGAAAACAAACAGAAGCGGCCCCAGGGGACACGGGTGCATGCACACACAACCAGCCCTTGCCTGCGGAGCCGCCCTCTAACACACGTGAATTCAGACAAGCACCCCCGAGCTCCCAGCAGCAGCCCACATCGCGCCTGTGCATCCCGCCGATGGTACCTACCACTGATCACCTGCCCAAAGAGCTCCTCGGGCGTGTCTCCGAAGAAAGGCACGCAGCCCACCAGGAACTCGTACAGGATGACGCCCATGGCCCACCAGTCCACAGGCTTCCCGTAGCCCTGCCGCAGGATCACCTCAGGCGCTATGTATTCTGGGGTCCCACACACCTGGGCACAGAGAGGCCAGGCTGCCTCAGCATCGGGAGGCAGCGCTCTGGCATGATGGCTAGAGGGGTGGGAACGTCCCTATCCCTGGAGTGGAAAAGTCCCTGAATGAAGACTCAGCTCGCCTTGTTAATATAATAGCAAGGTCAACAGGCGCCTGAGAACCAGAGGTGCAGCTGGCGGTAGCTGAGTTTATATAGTTCCTATTAAATCAAAATGTCTAATTCTAACTTGGAACCATCACTCCTGAGCCCTCAACAGCCTCTGCTGGCCTCTGCCCTCTGGCTTCCCAAGGAAGAGACCTACTAGTCACGTAACTACTAGAGGAATTGGTAAACAGTCATAGCCTGGAATGTCAAATCAGCCCAGTGGCAACTGGGAGCTGTGTTCTGAGCACAACAGGCCTCAGGAGAGCCTTGTCCTCGACTTGGGCTGCAGGGTCCGGGACTATCTCCCACAAAACTCTGTCGAGTGTTAAGTCATACAAGTGATTTTCTCCAAATCCCGAGGAGGAAGAGTACTTGGGATTTTACAGCCTTAAGATTCTCATGGCCCATCCTAATATCCAAATGGGCTGCCTAACTTGGTTCTTCCCCAGAACCAAATAGTGGGGAAGACAGGCGTTTCCGGCTTAACATCTGGCCACAGGGCAAGCAGGCGCCACTAAGACTTTATTCTGAGGCCTGGAATTTGCCCCTCAGGTCTCAACTATCCCTTCCTTACCTGCTTGTCCAGGAACTCCCGGGCGTCCTTTTCGATGTGGCCCTCGTACAAGTTTGTGGTCAGACTCATGAGGCCAATTTTAGAAAGTCCGAAGTCAGTGAGCTTGATGTGACCCATGGATGTAATCAGGAGGCTGCGAGGTCAGAGGAACAAAACGACAGAGTCACTGCTTCCATTTTCAAGAGTGCCGACCTGAGCACATGGCAAACGTGTCCATGTAGGCTTTAACAGGGCACGGTGGGGCAGAAGCAGGGGAGCTTCGGCAGGGAGGCAGGCGGCTAAGTATGGCGCTCTGGCTGTGTGCACACTGCCTTCTGCAGAGGCAACAAACCTGCCTTGCGCCCGGCCCCACAACTCGTTTCTATTCACTGCTGTCTGTCCACACTGGGGGCAGGTGTCAGATGAGGGACAGCCTTTCCTCTACAGAGCCGAGGTCAGCCCCTCTCCTCACGTGGGCGGCTCCCAATACCCATTGCACGGAGAGAAAAGGGGCACAGAATCTTGTTCCGTGTCCACGGCTGGGTTAGAAGGAGGGTTGGTTGGCAGAGACTAGAAACAAGTCCCCTTCCCGTACTCTGCCACAGCCGTCTCCTTGCGCGCTGCAGGCTTCGCTCTGCCCCCTCCCTTGTAAGGGCCCCTGAATCAGCGTCTCTGGTCTTGACCCTCATGAGCACCATGCCAACCCAACTGCCTGCAGGCTGTACGGGCAGCGTAAACTCAATCTGCTCAAGACAAAGCCCCGCCTCCCACGCGGTCCTCTTCCCAGTAAAAAACAGCAATTTCTGTTATCTGCTAAGTGTAAGTGCTTAAAAAATCTCCTGCCCCTGAAATGCTTCCAGGAGTAACAGCCCCACAGAGGTCGGTATCGTGATCCCCACTTTAGGGAGCAGGAACTTGAGGCTCAAGTTCTGAGTCAGCACCCAGAAGAGCGGCCGTGTGAACCTGGTCCATCTTGAGACCAAGCTGCTCACCACCACAGAGGCCTGTTGCTTTCCTCTGATTGCCACAGCCTTACCTTCTCCTCTCTGCTTCCCTACATTCCCCACTCCAGTCTTCATCCTGACTCTCTCTGGTCCGGTGCAGGCAGTGTTTGTGGTCTTTGGCCTGGTCTGCTGCAGGGGTTTCACTATCTCCACTGGCAGTGTGATCTTTCTACACCTTAACCAAAATCTGAGCGTGTCTTCTACCACACCTGTGGTAACCAGACCTCTTAAAGACTCTGTGAGCTCTTTCAAATAAAACCCAAACTGGCAGAAGACTCTTGATGACCTAGTCCCTGCCCGTCTCCCTGGCCTCTTCTCTTACAACTACCATGTGAGCTGTGGCCAGGTCCCATCAGTGTTCCTGCGTGGCTCACATTCTCTCACACCCGCAAGCCTCTCACATCCTCTGCCCCATACACAGGTTTTACGTTCCTGTCTCCATAGCACATACCAGACGTGGCGAGAACTCCTCTGAAACCCAGAACACAGCCCTTGGCAGAGCAGCACACTTGTTGAGCCATCTCCTAAATGTGCCGCTTTTGTTCCTGCAGAGCTCCTCGGTGACTCTTTTATGTCACCAAGGCCTTAGAATGCTCCTGCCAGATCTTATGCAATGGTCTTTGCATCTGAGGTGGACAGGGGCTACAGCACTGGGCCTAAATGGACATGCACATGAGTATTGCTTCCTAGAAGTTATCCTGGGATAGACCCAAGTCTGCCGTTTGCCTCCAGCTGTCTAGAGACCCAAGGAGGAGACCGTACAAGGGACCTGGACTGTGCGCATACTTGTCAGGTTTGAGGTCTCGGTGCACGATGCCGTAGTTGTGCAAGTACTCCAGGGCCAGCACGGTTTCCGCAAAGTACAGACGCACCATGTCCACGGGCAAGGCCCCAATGTTCTTCAGCAAAGTAGCACAGTCTCCCCCTGCAATAAGTCCAGGCCACTGTAAGGGAAGGGTCTAGGTCTCCATTCCAGCCAGTTCCCAGCCTTGCAGGCTCTAAGGTCCCAAAGGAGACAGCCTCATGGAATACCCAGTGCTGGAAATTACGGGTCTAGCCTCTGTGCTGCTGGCACGGGTGGGGACAGGGTGTGGAGGGAAGGGAAACTGCCAGAGAGGGTAGGAAGCCAGGCCCCTTATAGCTTCTGGCTGACTTGCAGGGATCAGACTAAGTAATTTTAGGGTGGGGCTACTGTAGACTGTAAGCAAATCTGGCTACCGTTTGTTCACCTATTTCCACCCTATTGGCTTTCCTTTAGTTTCTGAATAGGGCAACACTCCCAGCATATACTCAACGAATTAACAGGGGAGTTTTGTTCAGTTTCAACTTCAAGATGGGCAAAATTTTGGGAAGCTATACACAACAGTGAAAAGGGAGGTGACAGGGCCACCAGCAAAGCCCCTGCCCTGCTCCCGAACACTTGTAGGCCAGGCCTAGAGCATCACGTGTGGTTTTAAGGGCTGTCCTCTCCATAAGCCATCAGCCAGGGCCATGGCTTTCCTCCCCAGGGCCCAGAGGCGATCCTCCCAGCACCCTGTCTTGGGCTGCTACATCCTGTCCCACAGAACTTGTCATCACACACGACAAGGGCAGCCTCACGGCAGACAGGAGCTTTGTGCTCACCATTACCGAATGACCACTGAGATTCTAGGCAGAAATGAATGCCACAGAGGGCTGTGAAACTTGACCCTTGCACAAACATGCTGGTCCCCATGGAGGGATAACTCTGACACTGTGTCTTGGCCTCCATGCCAGACCACTTCCTCCCAGTACCTTTAGTACCTTCTACATACTCCATCACCATGCACAAGTGACGCTTGGTCTCAAAGGAGCAGAACATGCTGACCACAAAGGGGTTCTCGGCAAAAGTCAGTATGTCCCGCTCCACAAAGGCCTGCTGGATCTGGTTCCGCAGGATCAGGTTCTGCTTGTTGATCTTCTTCATGGCGAAGCGCTGCCGGGTGGACTTGTGCCGCACCAGGAACACAGCCCTGGGAAACAGCGCAGCCCAGCTCAGTCCCCACAGGCCCCCAGCACCGAAGCTGTGCTCCCCAGTACCCACTGCCTCCTCCCACACCTCAAAATGCACAGAACAAGTGAGCAGGAGTGTGCATGTTAGTAACAGGGATCTGGACTAAAGAGTTCTTATTTGGTTTTTTATTTTATTTTTATTGATTTGAAAAGCAGGATGGGGGTTGGGGGGATCTTCCACCTGCTGGTTCACTTCACAAATGCCTACAATAGCCAGAACTGGGCCTGGCTGAAAAGAGGAGCCCAGAACTCAATCTGGGTCTCCAACATAGATGGCAGGGACCCAAATACTTAAACCATCACTTGAAGCCTCCCACGGTACACATTAGCAGGAAGCTAGAATTCGAACTCAAACCCAGGCAGGTGTCCCAAGGTGCATCTTAATTGCTGTGCCAAACACCCGCCCCAAGTTCTTACACAAGTCTTGAAGATAAAGCTCAGGGAGAGGAGAGGCTACCAAGAGGGCGGGAATCTTCTCTGAGACAGGAACAATCCTCAGATGTTGCCTCACAAGGGGGCTTCAGGGAGCAGGAGGGTCTACCCTGAGGCATCTGTTGCCTAGAGGACTAGGCATTACCCTCTTCCAGAGGGAGACAGCACGCCTGACTCTGCGCCAGTTCCAGCCACACCCTGACCCCTGCGCTTACCCGTAGGCGCCATTGCTGATGAGCTTGATGGTTTCGAAGTCCTCTTCAGAAGGTGTCTTTTTAGATGGCAGAGATGCTCCACGGCCCTGGAAGACAAGAAACACGCAGGAGGCGGGCATGCTTCTCTGGGCCCATACGCTTGGGCAAGCTGTGGCCAGCATTCGGCCCATTTTCTCAGGAGCTGAATGAACTCTCAGGGCCGAGAGCCAGCCCTCCTGCAGATACTCTAAGAGAATTCAGAGCCCTTTACAATGGGGCTCAGCCTCCAGGACTGGGGCTCTGGGTCTTTACCTCGACGGAATCATCTGTCTCTGGAGTGTCAGGACTGTCATAGCTGCTCAACTGGACCATTTCTAGAAACAAAGCAAGGATACAAGAGAAAAGTGTGCGTGGCAACGTCAGGCATCTCATCAGACCCTCAGATCACATCATGTGCATGTGGAGCAGGCCTGGATGCTTTCTCCATCAGCCTGGGATGCAAATCCAGTCCTGTGACTCTAGGCACAGCTTTGCTACCAGCCAACAAGCCAAATACTGTTGCTACCCCTACTTCTAGAAGTTCAGTGCCATTCATAAAGCAGATTCTATAAAAGCAGTTATCAAACTTGGGACATTTCCTGGAAGACTAGATAAAGACTAGGTTTATCACTCCCCGCTTACTGCCTACTTTGTGGAATGGGGCTAGGAAGAAGGGAAGGAAACAGCAGGGCAGTACCAACCAGGGCCTGAAGCCCACAGTCCATCTGGGGGCTTGGCACGAGGCCCGCAAGAATGGAGATACCCTCTAAAGCCCTGACTGGACCACTGCAAAGATGCCGGAGGATCTCCAGTGAGACCAGCAGCAGAGGCCAAGTGTGCAGAGCAGGTGATCGCTTTGGAGAATATGACTGCGCACCTTGGTTGTTGAGCTCTTTTGACTTGAGGCTCTAAAGCCAACTCAGCTGGGCCCAAGGCAACACAGGTTGGGATATATCAGGCAGATATATGGCACCAATGACAGAGACCACAGGTGCCTCCCACAGTCCTGAGGCCCTGATGCCATGTGGCTGCATCCACGCAAAGTCTTTCTTCTCCAAGTGGTCTCTCGCCCTTAGGCAGTGGGGTCTCTTTGCAGCCCCCTGACAGCATGCTCACCCTCAAGGGGATCCCGTGTGAGGCCCAGCTGGCTGACGATGTAGCGGGGAATGTCACATTTAATCCCATGTCCCTCTTTGGCGTGACCCTCAGCTGCTTCTAACAGGTGGTAGAACTCTTCAGGGTCAAACTCCTATACCAGGGGAGAGAGGTAATCAGTGGTGAGAAACACAAGTGAAGACTGCTATCTCTTTGGTCTGAATACCCAGGAACAACATGATCCCGTGACCACAAGAATGGGGACAAAGCTGTCTAACAGGTCATCTCCGGATTGGACATCCTAAGCATATACTATCTTCATAGCAATGAGGACCAGAGCATTTGGTTTCAAGAGTGCTCGGCCTTTTCACCTGGGCCCAAGCCTTCCGCCAGCCAGACGGCATCATCAGGTGTGTTCAGATGTCCAATCCAGAGCAGTCCTGGTACACAATTATAGTTCATTAGAGCTTTAGCTCTCAATCCCAGAGGTGTAACTGCATACCTCCTGGGTGCCAGGGGCTGGAGCTCCAAGTGTTCAACATAGTACAGTCTTTGTACATAGTGATGGAAGGTCTCATTTACTAAGTGTCTACCAAGTGCCCTACTCTGGGCACTTAGAACAATTCTTTGACCTTGGTGGGGAAATCAAGGCTCACAGGGATGGACTGACTTGTCCACGGGCACAGAGGAAGAAAGGAACAAAAAACCAGCAATCAAATCCAGGCCTGATTCCAAGCCCCTGCCTAGCCATGGATTCATGTTCCTAGGGAAGGGGCTCTGTGGATCCCAACCCTAGCCTCTCATTTGAACCCTGCTTCTATCCCCTCTGCTCTCACTATTTTGGAGAACTGCATGACAACATTTACATGTAATGTACATACAATTTACATACCACATATTCTATGGGATGCTAAATATATCTTGATAAAGCTGGTTAAGAAAAGAGTAAATCTGACCCTGTCACTTTCTGGAGGCTCCAGGTGGCCTTAGGATAATCCAAACCCGAGCCGAGAAATCACCATCCTCTACGATCCTGTACCATCCAGGTGTATCCCTCAAACACCCTGTACTCCATCAAATGCCCTTCCCAATGCGCCTCACCTGGCAAACTTCCACTCACCTTTCAGGTCATCTGAATGAGCCTCATGTCCCCCAGGGAGTTCACACTGAAATTTCAAGGAGGCCTAAAGCACTCCGTTCACCAGGTTCCTTCTGCACCTCATGCTGGCCTCAGCAGCAAAACTTCTTATAATATATTTGTACTGATTATTTCATGCCCATGTGACTTAAGACTCCCTAACTCCACTAAAGAGGAGATATCCTGAGGTCAGAAACATGCTTTCTTCATGTGTGTATCGAGCAAGAAGTAGCTCTCAGAAGTGCAGATTTGGGATTAAACGATGGACTTGATTTCTGCAAACTAAACTGGCCTTTGCCTCTCAGTGTCCCTGTCTCAAGGCCGCCACTGATCTGGGGTCTGGTCAGGGTAGGGCTGGGCCAGACCAATACTCTCCCCTGTCATACCCCATGGGACCATCCGTTTGTCCGCATGGCAGTCTGTCTAATCCCCAAAGTTGGCCAGTCGCATAGGAATAAGGGAACCAGCAGTGAGTGAGACCAGAGCTTTGCTGCCAGCAACATGTTTCCTCTACAGTTCCCCAGCTCTGCTCCAGCCTTCCCAGAGTCCACTCACCAGGCATTCCAGCAGGCGGGCCGGGCGGGCAATGACAATCATCAGCTTTTTCACTAGCTGCATCACAAAAGCCACTTCTGAGCTCTCCGAGCGTTCGTGAGCCTGCAGAAGAGACAAGGGGCGCTGAAGCAATCTCTTGGCCTGATGTGGTGGGGCTGAGCAGAGCCCTTTGGGGAGAAACTGGCAGCGCAGGGAGCTCTGCAAAGCCAAGTACTCCGAGAGGCCCGTCAGCTGTGCGGAGGAGCAAGCTTGCTCCTCGGGAACTATCTGAGCTTCAGAACCGCAGAGACACAGCTTTACCTGCTCCTCTATCATTCACACACACACCCCCTCCCAGTCCCTAGCTCAGGTGCACGGCTCAATGGATCCTTCACTGATGTTCACTTCCTGCCCCGGATGGACTGTAAGGAGCAGGAAGGAGTCACAGCTGAAGAGTGGCAAGATGGCATTTCAGGAAGTCACCCTCTGCAGTAGAGAGTGCACTATAGATGGCACGCCTAAAAGCAGGAAAACCCATGAAAGATCACTGTAAGAATGCAGATGTAAAAGGCACAAGTCCAGACAGTGAGGATGGCGACAAATGGACAGACTTGAGCCATTTCAGAGGCAGACCTGAGGGAAGGAAGCGGGAATAGAAGGTAACTGCAAGTTCAATTTCAAGGAAATTTCAGTGACTCCATTCATTAGAAGATAAGCAGCTTAAGTAAGGATATACAAAGAACACATTACATTTGGTTTTAGAGACAGGATAGTGGGGCAGAAAAGACAGTGCAGTTTTGGATGTGCAGACTTGGGGGCACCTACATGGGACCCTCTCTCAGGTACCTGGGAGGCCCAGAGCCTTTCTCTTTTATTCTGAGCACTGCCCTGGCTTCCAGGAAGAACCATATTTATATTGTATGGCTGCACCTTCCCTCACACCTCCAACAGCTGGCCAATGGGGATTATGGACCTAGGAACTTGAAAATGGATAGAAAGACAGCTATTTTTTTATAAAAGATTTATTTATTTTACTTTGAAAGTCAGAGTTACACGGAGAGAGGAGATGCAGAGAGAGGGAGAAGAGAGGAGAGAGAGAGAGAGGTCTTCCATCTGATGGTTCACCCTTCAGATGGCCACAATGTCTGGAGCTGCACCGATCTGAAGCCAGGAGCCAGGAGCTTCTTCCAGGTCTCCCATGTGGGTACAGGGGCCCAAGCACTTGGGCCATCTTCCACTGCTTTCCCAGGCCATAGCGGAGAGCCAGATGGGAAGTGGAGCAGCTGGGTCTTGAACCAGCACCCATATGGGATGCCAACGCTTCAGGCCAGGGAATTAACCCACTGTGCCACAGCACTGGCCCTGAAAGACAGCTATTTTTTTCTTTTTTTTTTTTTACACGGTGTAGTCAAACTCTATAGTCTACACCTGGATGAAAAGGGAAGGGCATATCTGTCATAGAGATAAAGAAAAAGCAGCACAGAGACAACAGAGATGAGAAAAGAAGGAACATGTGCCGAGCTTCCCAGCTTCTGCCTGTGTTCCTTTCTAGGTCTCTAAGATCCACCCTTTCTATCCTTACTAGTTTCGCTTTACTACTTAAGCCACACTGACTCAGACTTCTAGTACCTCCAAGAAAGACAATGTAGGGAATTCAAAGTGGAGGAGTTCTAGGGGCAGCTAGAGTTCAGCTGTTTTTCAGTATCCATGGGGACTGGTTCCAGAGCTCCCTCAGACACACAAACCTGTGGCTGCCCAAGTCCCTTAAAGAAGAGGTCGTAGCATTTGCATACAACCTATGCACATTCTCTTGCACACTTTAAACCATCTCTAGATTTTATTCATAATACCAAATACATGTAATAATATAAATGCTTTGGAAATTGTTATTAAATTGTATTGCTAAGGGAATAATGACATGAAAAAAAGTCTGTACAGGCTTAGTACAGTACCCCCTGCCCCGAACAGTTCTGATCTGCAATTGGTTGAATCCACAGCTATGGAACTCAACTGTACTGACCTGGAGTCAGGAGACCAGTGAGGATGAGTCCTCAACACGAGGATGCCAACTGAAGACATGGAAGCAGACAAAGCTCATCAGGGAGGGGGTTTTCAGAGAAAGGAAAGAGAGGGCAAAGGACACTCGGGATGATGCCCTGTGAAAAACCCAGCATTTAAGACAGGCAGAGAAGAAACTCATGAAGAGGCAGCAACACTGACAGCTGGGAGAAAGGTTCAAGAAGAGGCATCCACTGTGTTCTGTGGGGAGGGGAAGAAAGGTGAGTCCTGAGACCATGGGATCTGGCACTGACCATTTAAGTCCTTGATGACTTTTGCCTGAACAGTTTCAGTGGTGTGGTGGGAAGGGAAACTAGAGAGCAGAAGAGTGAGTAGTGAATAGCAAATGAGGACCCTTTTAAAAATTCATTTCAGTAGTTTCACAATAAACTGAATTGAAGCTGAAAAAAAAATTCATTTCAGGGGCCGGTGTTGTGGCATAGTAGGTAAAGCTACCGTCTGTGACGTTGGCATCCCATATGGGTGCCGGTTCGTATCCCCACTGCTCCACTTCCAATCCAGCCCCATGTTAAAGACCTGGGAAAAACAACAAAAGATGACCCAAGTATTTGGGCTCCTGCCACCCATATGGAAAACCCAGATAAGCTCCTGGCTTCAGCCTGGCCCAGGGCTGGCTATCCAGGGAGTGAACCAGCAGATGGAAGATATCTCTCTCTCGATCTTATTTTCAAATAAATCTTTTTTACAAATGTATTTAAAATATTTGTTATAAAACAAAAAGAAAGGCTGAGCAGTTGGTAAAATTCTGTTTGTTTTTAAGACTTAGCCCAAGAGGGAGCCAAGCGAGGGCGCTCCTGTCGGGGCTTCCGTGGCGGGAGGGAGCCCGGTGGAGGCGCCCTCCCAGGCACCACTGCCCATGCTGACCACCGCACGCTCTGCCTGCCGGTGTCATGAGTAACACCACAGTGCCCAGTGCGCCCAGGCCAACAGTGACTCGATGGTGGGCTATGTGTTGGGCCCTTTCTTCCTCATCACCCTGGTCGGGGTGGTGGTGGCCGTGGTAATGTATGTCCAGAAGAGAAAACGGGTGGGCTGGCTTCGCCGCCACCTGCTCCCACGTACAGCTATGACCCGGCTGAGGAGCTGCACGAGGCTGAGCAGGAGCTCCTGTCAGACGTGGGAGACCCGAAGGTGGTGCATGGCTGGCAGGGTGGCTACCACCACAAGCGGGTGCCCCTGCTGGATGTCAAGACCTGACCTGAGCCCTCGGCCGGAGCCTCGGGGGTCCCGCAGTCTGCTTCCTCCCCGCCCCCCGCCTCCCCAAGCCCTCCGCTCGGCAGCCTCACCCTGCCCTCAGCCCTCACCCACCTCCCGGCACTAACGGGGGTCTCCTCCCCGGGGCGGGAGAGGCGGCTGGGAGACAACTTTGCTTTCTATAGGTTCCCTGCATCCTGGACTGGCTTTGGGTTTCCACAGCAAGGGACCCAGATGTATAATCTCAGTATATATATTTTGTAAATAAACGGTTTTGTGGCTAAAAAAAAAAATAAAAAAGACTTAGTCCAGACATCATGTACTCTGTGAAGTCTTGTCTTAGTCCCCTTAGCCCCACCATAAACACACACACACACATGCAAGCGCACACGCACACACACACGTATGTACAAAAAGAAGTTGCTGCCTTTTCCAGGTTCTCCTTGCTTTGTACTCACATCACATGGTCCTACCATGTTGTGTAATGGCCTTTCTCTTTAGCCACACCACAGGGCCATGTAAGTAGAGAGGCAGTGTCTTTCTTTTTCTCTTCCCTCACATACTAGGCCTTGCACAGTGCCTCTTATACAGTAGGTTTCAGTCAGTGTTTATGTACTAAGTATTTGAAAATGTATGATCTTGGGCTCTGGAATATTAAGATGAACTGGAGTTTGGGTTCTAGCTCTGCTACTTAGAAATTACTTACTTATGGCTAACTCAGCCTTTTAAAGTTTCAGTTTCCTCATCTGTAAATACTAATACCTTTGTTACAGACTTGTTGTAAAGATTTAATTTGAAAAATAAGATAACCTAGTACCTAGCATGCATTACGTACTTTATGAATACTAGTCATTTTTACTATTCTGAGTGCAAATGTGATCATGTCATTTTTCAATTTAACACCACTGACTAATGCCCCATTACCCTCATGATAAAATCTATAGATTCTCTCAAGGTCCTTCATCATCTGGCCCCTAGTCTAACTCCTTAAACTGATCTACCACCCTTCTGCAGGCCTCCTTCAACTCTAATTGAATGTCCGAAGTCCCTGTACACTGCTGAGAAGCTATTCATCTTGTTTCTGCGGGTCAGCTACCTCCTGCTACTTGCCAAGAGTCGACCTTCCCTAACCTTTCCACACACAGTCAGCACACCCTCCCCTGCACTCAGAACTTCCCTCGATTTAGTGCTCCCCAGTCACACTGTACAACCATCACTGGGAGTAAGATCATCATATAAAGCACTCAGTATAGTGTCTGGCACACAGAACACAGCAACAAGTCACGGGTGCTATTTTATTGTAAATATGTGTTGATGGGCCTGTAACCCCAGTCAATGGCCTGAGACAGAGCATGCTCCAATGCCTTCCTGCATTCCAAGAGCCTAGCAAATGAAGGAGCAGAGGAGCAAGCCTGCTCTGAATTCAGTGCTCTTCCTACCCTCAGGGGCAGTTAGTCTGAGAAAACTTGTGGAAGTCTTGGGCAGGCCTCTGACTTTAGCAAACCACAAGATTAACCTCAGACATGCAAGAAACCCAGGGTGGGGGTGGGGTAGCTCTCCACATGAATCCTTTAGCTGATTCCTGACTCCTAAAGGTCTCTAGGGCACCCCTGCCATTGCTGGGAACTGTTAGAAAGCAATTCTTGAGCAGAAACAAACAGCTAATTTTCATAGGACTTTGGGCTTCTAAAGTCTTATTTATATGATGCTTGAATTCAAATATTACTTTTGCAATCAGAAAAAGACATTTCTATAGAAGGGAGTACTTTTGGGGCCGGTGCTGTGGCATAAAGGGTAAAGCCGCCACCTGCAGTGCCAGCATCCCATATGGGTGCCAATTTGAGATCGGCTGCTCCACTCCTGATCCAGCTCTCTGCGATGGTCTGGGAAAGCAGTAGAAGATGGCCCAAGTCCTTGAGCCCCTGCACCCTCATGGGAGACCCGGAAGAAGCTCCTGGCTTCGGACTGGCACAGCTGCAGCCATTGAGGTGAACTGGGGAGTGAACCAGCGGATGGAAGACCTCTCTCTCTCTCTCTGCCTCTCCTTATCTCACTGTGTAACTCTGACTTTCAAATAAATAAATAAATATTTTTTTAAAAAAAGGAGTACTTTTATACTTGTTTAATCAAGCCCTGACTCAGTTTAACTCCTGCCCATTGGGCTAGTTTTATGACTTCAAAGAGTAAAGAGAACAGTCTGCTATCTTTTAAATATGACAAATCTTCCACTATGACAAATCTTCCGCCATTTGACAGCAATAATCACAGTCATTTATTTATTTGGAAAGCACAGTGAGAGAGAGAGGGACACGCACACAAACACACACACACACACACACACACACACACACACAGAGATATTTTACCCACTGGTTCACTCTTCAGGAAGTCAGGAGCCTAGAACTCCATCCAGCTCTCCCATGTCTCCCATGTGGGTTGCAAGGATTTAAGAACTTGGAGCATCACCAGCTGCCTTCCTATCCACATTAGCAGAAAGCAGAGGAGTAGCAGGGACTCAAACTGGCACAGGGATACTGGATGCAGGAGTCTCAAGCAGTGGTTTAACCCACTGTGCCACAACACCTGCCCATCTTTCTAACACACTGCAGTCCTGTTTGATTGCCAGCCCTGGGCTCTCAGCTCAATTGTTACTATTCTACAAAGAGGTCATGTGTCAGGAGTCGATAAGGGTTTCTGGACTAGGAAATACTCTAGGAGCATAAAGAGCCCTGGAGAGACTGATGCATCCCCTCACCCACAAATTGTGCTAAAAGTACACTATAGGTCAACTGTGACCTTAGCAGGAAGGCATTGGAGCACTTATTTGAGAGGCTGACAGCAAAGCAAGCACTAGAACACAGAGGATTTGAAAATGCAATGTATGCTCTGATCACGGCCATGGCTGGATTTTTTTCACCTTACACTGGAGTGGATCAGGTCTCTAACCAGAGAAGTCTCCCACTAGAGAACTCACCACACCAAGGCAAAGCTGGCTGAGGACAAACAGTTGAAAGGCTCTGCTTAAAGTAGTATTTCTAGCAAAAGAGGGCCCACCGCAGCCATGAGGACCACTTTTGGCTTTGGATAACCAATCTCCTAGTCAAATACATAATTCTACCAATGCTGGAGCCTCAAGTAGAATAATATAGCTTTGAATTAAGAAAAAAATGGGCCCTTTTTAAAAAATTGATTTCCTCTGGCATCAAGCAGGCCTCTCTCAGTAAGGCAGTAACTGGGGAGGAATTTAAGGGGCCGCTTCTGGACATCACCAAGGAGATGTGGTGGTGGCGGCACACGGGCAGGGATGGATGACTGGGACACCTTTGATCCCTGATCCCAGTTTGGGACCACCACATAGATGTTTCACAGGAGCCCCTGCAAAAGACACTCACATCTTGCAGAAGCTTCTCCAAATTCTCTTGAAGTTCATAGAAGTAGTGTGAAGTAATGAGGCCACTCTTAGATTTATCCAAGCAGTCCCGGGCCATCTCGATCACCTGATGATGAATAAAGCTCAGGGCTCCATCTGCCAGGGGCAGCACGTGGTCTGGAGTATTGGAGGCAATGAACTCTGCTAGTCGTTCTTCCATTTGTGCAGTGGCCTGGCAATAAAAGAAAAGTGACACTTTCCTCCCAGTTCTAGGCCAGCTGGCACTAAACCTAAAGGATATGGTAACAGCCTATGGATGGGCTCCCTGTGATCCTGGTTTCCTACTGCTACTTGTTGGAAATCTGATGCCTGGAAACATGCAAAGGTCACCTTCGGGTGAAGTCAAAGTGCCTCAGTGTCACATTCCAGGCCCGCCGTGAGCTGGCGCTGCCTGTCTCCTATCACTCCCCGTAGCATACGTTCTTTTACTCTCAGGACGCAAAAGTTTGCTGTTCTTCTTCCATGTTCCATGCTTCTGCCTATGTCTGTGCTCTCCCCTCTCTGAGGCTGAGTCTGCCTGGTCAGCTCCTGGTCCTCCTCGTTGTCTCAGCCCAGGCATCACCTTTCCTCTGGGAAGTCTTTCATGCCCCAACGGATGGGGGATTTTCTTTTCTCTGTGCTCGCACCAGACCTCCCGACTGTGTAAACTTGAGTGTGTAGACATTCCTATTTTCTAACCCCTTCTCTGGACTGGGCAGTTCTTTAAAGTTAATTTTACTCATCTCACACTGCTCTTACTTAACCTTAGGACCTGCTTAATAGAGCTAAGCAGATGCTCAGAGTGTTCACTGAAGGTGTGAACCCGCCTGGCCACACAAGACAAGATGAAATGGGAGGAGGCTATGGCTAGGAACATGGCCTTGGCCGGGATCCCCAGCAGCGCAGACTGGAGACCTGGCTCAGAAGCCTCTTGTGGACCTAACTGTGCAGTCAGGCATAACAAAATGACAAATGCTCTTCAGTAAGTTCACAGCTGCCTACGTAGGAGTCTGTCTTCTTTCCTTTGTCACCAAGTGGTGTTTTCTGATTTCCAATGTGTGTTTGGGCAAATGTATACATATGTGTGAACCCATGCACGTGTTGTTTGTGTGTGTGACATGCTTAACAAACAAAAACACACAACATAAAAGGATAATATGATACTGTGAATGTCAAGAAAGCCAAGCACAGGGGCTTCACAGCATGCCCCTAAGCCATTGTGCGGCAGAGGGCAGCCAGAGGAACAGGAAGCCACACCTCTATTCCCAGAGATGGACAAACCCAGGAGGTCTGCATGCAAGACAGGGGGCCAGCGCATGCTCTTGCTGCCCACTGTTGTCCCACAGACAGAGCTGGCTGTATTCTGCAGGAGGTCGCTCCATAGGTGTGTGGTGCTCAAAGAAGTGCAACTGGGAAGCTGGGTCCCAGTTCTACACACAACTGGAGTTGTGAGGATGATTTCTCAGCTCTCTCAGGACAGCAACCTACCTTCCTCCCTCCTGCTCTCCTGTTGCCAGAGCAGACCCTGCCACTGGAAGCAGCTCTGAGACCTCTGACTGCACCCTCTGGCCTTCTATCTGGGTAATGAGGCACTACTCAGAAACCTGATGGAATGTGGGTGCTCCCAGAGCACTACTCAGAAACCTGTATGGAATGTGGGTGCTCCCAGAGGGCAGGGCCTTTGAGAGAGGGGCCTGCTGGCAAGGTGAGAAACTGGGTTCCCAGTCCTCTCCTCCCCTTTTGCACAGGGCAGATGTCTCTCTGACATTCCCCTCTAGTCACCGCTCCCTCCAGGGAGTGCAGTGGCAGAGGCTCTGCAAGTAGAGTGCCCACTGCCTCCTGCCACCTGCCTCCGGCCTTCCAGCAGTCTGGGAGCCCTGATGCTGTATCCTCCTCCTGGGTGGTGCCTTTCCACTCTTCTCCTTTCCCACAGGAGGCAGCACCTTCTTCTTTCACTCCAGTCTTCCCACTGGGGCCAGCCATGGGCAGCAGTCCTTGGGGACATTACCCATGTCCTTTTAAATGGATCCTTACCTTGGGGAATCTTTCTTTGTACACATGATTCATCATTATTATTTCACTGTCAAAGGAAACTGGGGACCGTCCAGGACTGAATAAGAAAGAAAAAAATTGTGTCATTTAGTGCTTTGAAACTGTCAAGGAGAAAAATGGCCACCCGTTGAGTCCCAGTCCTCCCGCAGTCTCCAGTGCCCACACACGTCCACCTTAGCAAGTGCTGATTTCTGGGGCCTTCTTTATTCCTACAGCTCCCAGGGTACCCAGTTCAGTTAAAACTGGTGCCATCTGGAGCTGGGCTACCTTCCTGCAATCAGTTTGCCTTTCACAAAGACCTCTGCCAAGGCCTGAAAAGGTGGCCTACCGCCAAACCCACTGGTGCTTTCCTAGGATGGCCTCCCCAGAGCAGGACTTGGCATCCTCCAGTTCTGGCCAATGGGACTTGGTATACCACAGCATGTCCCAGGAATTCTATTAAGTCAAACCACCACCAAAGCAACCAAAGGAAGACTACATTTACAACTATTTTCCCAAACAAGCTGCAGCCAATGAGGCTAACTTAGACTCTGACCTGGCATGAAGGAAGTTGACCCAGCCTGCACTGAGTTATACATCTGAGTCTTCCACTGAAGGTAGACAGTGTGTTTTTAGTCTTAATTTATTATATTCCCTAATAACCTAAGTCTTCCCTTCTGGCCCATGTGTGATTACATCTCCTTAAAGGACTTCAAATTTTGAGCTACACAGCTGGATAGTTGGGTTTTGATTAATTTAGTGTCCTGGCAAGCGATCCCAGCTGGGACAGGAACTGTTCCTCTGGGCCTTTCTCTAAGGACTGGGTCATGTTCTGCCTCTGTGCTGGTGCACAGGACTAAGTCTTTAAAAGCAATACAGCAGGGATTTCCCCTGAGCATTGCCGATCCTCCCAATCTCCACTAGCCTAAAGGGCACCCATCCTTTCCTCTGTGTGAGCTGCGGAGCCCACCAAGATTTAGGCATTCCTCCATAAGACAAAGGAAGGCATGGGACTCCACACTCACTTATCTGTGTTCTTGAGTTTTTGCACTAAAATACCAGTAACCATCTTCGTCAGTCTCTGAACCTGAACCAGTCTTCTGGCTCTGTCATTCAAGGTGCTACCTGAGTGCTATTCATCCTGGGAGATGTTACTCCTCTGGGACCCTACCCTGCATAGGTCAACTGATTTATTATTTCCCAGGGACTCTGGAAAGCTGAACTCAGCCATTAAAGCCATGCTCCTTTAATCTCCATCCATTTCCTTAAGCTGGAATTTTGGCACAGATTGCCAGATAACGCTAAAGGGAATGGACAATTAAAAGCATTCAAAGATAAACCAGCTGTTAAGGTCTGTTTGGTCTGATTGAGAAAACCCAAGTGAAGCCGAGACTTGAGATAGATTCAGATAAGCATTTAATTTAAAATGAGTGTCTTGGGGGTTGGCATTGTGAGGTACAGGGTAAAGTCAGCAATACCAGAATCCCATATGGGTACCAGTTCATATCCTGGCTGCTCCGCTTCTGCTCCAGCTCTCTGCTAATAGCCTGAGGAAAGCAGTGGAGGAAGACCCAAGTGGTTTGGCCTCTGAGGCCCATGCTGAGAGATCCAGATGAAGTGCCTGCCTCCTGGCTTCAGCTTGGCTCAGTACTGGCTGTTGTAGTCATCTGGGGAGTGAACCAGCAGATGGAAGATCTCTCTCTATATCTCTCCCTCTCCCTCTGTAGTTCTTTCAAATAAATAAATAAATGTTAAAGGAAAAATGAGTGTCTTCTCCCAATCAGACATCTGCGTCATTACCAGCAATTCTAAGTTTATTTATTTATTTTCATCTACTTGAAAGGCAGAGTAATGGGAGACCAGGAGGAAGCACCTGGCTCCTGGCTTCGGATCAGCACAGCGCGCTGGCCGTAGCGGCCATTTAGGGGGTGAACCAATGGAAGGAAGACCTTTCTCTCTGTCTCTCTCTCTCTCTCTCTCTCATGATCTAACTCTGCCTGTCGAAAGAAAGAAAGAAAGAAAGAAAGAAAGAAAGAAAGAAAGAAAGAAAGAAAGAAAGAAAGAAAGAAAGGCAGAGTGACAGAGAGAGAGACAGGGAAAGAGAAAAGAGAGGGAGAAGGAAGGAGGAGGGGGAAAGGCAGAGACTGATGGAGATATATTCCATCTCAGTAGAAGATTCAAATGCCTGCAACAGCCAGGGTGAGGTCAGGCCAAAGCTAGAGCCTGGACTTCCTTGGGCAGGACCCAAGTACTTCAGCCGTCTTCTGCTGCCTTGCAATGTATTAGCAGGAACCTGGATCAGAAATGGAATCGCTGGGACATGGCACTCCAATATGGGATGTGGGTGTCCCAAGCAGTGGCTTAATCTGCCACAATGTCCACCCCTAGGAGCAACTATTTTAGCTGGCCTAGTTCATCTACCTAGGCCTATGGGTTCTGTAGTCAGTTAACCATCAAAATTGATATTTTACTCTCCTTCTACTGAATGGAGTCTTAAGTATATATGAACTGCTAAGTACTTTTAAAGGAAAAGAGAGACAGACTGCATGACAGCATCTTCAGATAGCTCTGGGGGTGACAGTTTGAGCTACACCAAAAGCCAAAAAGGGCTTGAGTACCACTGGACATGGATATGTTATCACAAAGGTTGGCAAGTGACAGCCTACAGGCCAAGTACGGTCTACTGCCTGCTTCTGTCAATAAAGCTAATATATGATCTGCAGATGACTGCATCCCACCAAGGCAGAATGGAGCATTCGTGCTGGAGGTGTATGACAGTCTACCACAGCCACCATCTTGGCCCTTTACAGAAGTGCTGATCCCTGTACCATGCACACAAGCTAAGATCAGCCCTCACCTGAGGCTGCGGGAGCGGGGCCGCATGGCTGGAGATTGCCGTCCCTCCTCATCTGGTACACTCTCTGTGCTGAAATGTTTCGTCAGAAAGTGCAGCTCATCAGCTGTAGGCTGGAAAGGCAACTGATGCAGCTTTTCCTGTGAGGAGCACGATGACTGCAGAGGAAGACATTACAAACAGCACTGAAGACAAGGCCAAGGGCAGTTCAGGAACAGGGGAGGACTGCAAAGGGCCAGGTGCCTTCCAGCTATGGAAACTGACAGCTAGTCCCCCCTCTCTCTCCCAGCACCCCATCCCCCTCAGCTGCACATTGAGCCCATCAGAGCCCTTGGCCCTGAGGAAGCCAGGACATGAGAGGCTTCAAGGTTGTGTTGGGAGTTGCACCCAGACTTTCACAAGCTGTGAGAAGCCCTAACTACCTAGGAGCCTCTTAAGGTGGTAAAAAGCAAATCATTCTACTTGGACTCTGCCTTCAGTGAAGTTCTCGGGTACTGGAACAGGAAGTAATCAACACATTGTGCTTCTTGGTTTGGGAATGTTCTCGGTATGCCCAACTGCAAATGACATCCCCTGGGTTTTCCCTTGCATAGCCTGGAGAGCCACCCTGGATGACAGTGTTTCCTACGGGCTGTTATCCAGATGACTGCTTTACTGAGGTTGTGAGGGCTGTGTGAGATTGTGCTCGGACTCTCAGACACCAGCAGGCAAGGCATCTAGCAGGGAGCAAAATTACTTTTAGATCTGGACCTACAGATTAGACTTGATCTGCAAATAATCATGAATTCTAAACATGGTCCACTGCCTAAGGATTCCTGACAAGAACTCCACAGAACACTGGAGGGAGTGCATTGGGTTGCTGCAGGAATCCCACACCTGCAACTCTCACTGTGGCAAACCCTTCAGCTCCGGGACTGGCTAAGAGAACAGACAAGCCAAACACTGTTGGCACAGTTCCACTGGTCTTTGGAGATCTAAATCCATTTCAAGTCGAAGCTGCAGCACCATACTGAGAGAACTCTGCTGCAACAAGGTCAATACCAAGTAAGAAATTAGGATTGTTTTTGGCTAACAGTGCATGATTCTTCTATGGACTGCTGCACAAACTTGTGGACAGCTAGTAGGTCACTACAGGGCTCTGTCTTGGCTACATTCTTATAAATGATTTAGACCAAAGCCAAAAAAAGACTTCTCACCTAACATAAATCTGGTATACCAAGGTAAAGTACGGTAGGCAAAGTTGGTATTTTACAGTACTATAACAAGCTAGAACAGGTAGAGTCCATGAAAATTTACTGAACAGAAATAGACACACACATATATTGACTCTTACACTGAATCTAAAAATGTCATTTTTCTGAGTAAAGACTTATTGGAAAAGGGGCGTTTATTAGGAAAAGATCTTAAGTTTAACAGCTGCCAAAGATCTCTAGAGATTTAATAAAATCTAGGTCAAAGGAGGTTGGGATTCAAGACTATGGACAAACTGAGCAAAGAGACCTGAAGAACGGTGCAAGTGATGGGGATAAGATCATTAGAACTATGGCCTGTGAAGCCTGGAACACCTCCTATTTGGCCCTTTACAAAACTGTTCGCCAACCATATTATCCTGGTTTTAATCAAACATTGAGGAGAGCTCATTTTAGAATCCATTGTGCCTAATAGCAAGTAGCACACAACCTGTTGTGTTTAGGCTCAAGGCTTTGCTAAAAGAAATACAGGCAAAAGTTTTAGAGACAGGTCTAGTCTTTTATTGATACACATCAAACCAGGATACCAAGTTAACAACTATTCTTACTTTTTTGAAGAAAAAAAAAAAAGGTGAACAAAGGAGGGGAAGGGTCCATAGGTCTTTGGGACACAGGAAGGATGATCTGTTCTTAGCTACATTTCTAAAAATAAGGTTGCAGAAAGAAGGGAAACCATGCTTGGGAGACCCCAGGCCTGACCTCATTAACAAAGCAAAAATCCATCCTCAAGCCCTCCTCTGATGCAACTAGGAATAATGGACACCCAGAGAAGGTACTAGTTCATCCTTTCCACAGGCATTTATGGATCTGGCTATGGATGTTAAGGGTTACCAGCCCTTTGCCCTACTCAAGCCCATCCCCAAGCAACCTGTTTGAATTTGACTTAGAGAAAAAATTGAGAACCATTTTGCAACACAGGATATATAGCAATAACCCTGGGGGGTGTAATTCCTCAGGGAGAAGAAAGTATGACGATATTTTGGCTACTTACAGAGACAGTGGAGCTAGGCGTGTTAGTTCCATAGCCTGAAGAAGGCAAAGAGGCCAAAGACCAGCGCCGTCCATCAGTCCTACATAAGAAAAAAAATATTAGGCAGTTTCCACAGGTTCCCACCCTGAGCCCAGGACCTGCCTGTCCTTCCATGATCCCTTTGGGAGCAGGGCAGCTGATTCACTGGTGGGCTCCTCTTTGTCTGCAAACAGTACTGCTTGGTCCAGAACATACTTTCACATCTTTCCTACGAGGGGTCTATTGTTGTGTGTTTTCCACTGCAAAGACAAACATCCCTGACTACAAAGGAGGGCACGTGACTTTAAATAAGAACATTTGTTAGACAATTCTGTGGTTTTGGAAGCAACAGGAGAGGAAACCGGCTACAGGCATCCTCACAATGGCAGAATTGCCATTGAAATGAAGCTATTTCCTTTTTTGAAGGCTCCAATTGAAGGGCTCCTTGGTCTTCCCAGGCCAATGGATAGACTCTACCACCTGGGTTCAGACTGGGCCTCAACTGATGGCAAACAGTTATTGGCTGCTTAGGATTCATCAGGACCCATAAAACCAGCCTATGAGAATGTGTGCCAAACAGGGACAGTACCTCACGAAATCAGGTGGAGGGGACATACCTTTGCTTCTATATGAGACTTTGGGGGAGGGTTCCTGCTGCCCTCAAAAGGATGCTCCCCAAAGTTCTCATCAGAAAGAATCACAGTTATTTGCTTTACTGTAGAGGAGAAAGATCAAGCAGGTATCTGATTTGAAGGTTTTGTAACATAGCCATGTGATCTTTTTGCCTGGGCTGGGATGTGGTATAAAGTATTCTTTCTTGTAGAGCTTGGGGTATAGTCTGCTCTGGTGAAGTCAAGACAAAAACTTCTTTGCTGCTACTCACAGAACCTTAGAACATTAGCAATGGAGGATCTTTAGAACTTAAGTACATATTAAAATTTCCAGACAAAAAACTAAGAGATCTGGGTAATTTGTTTAAGGTCTCACAGTTATGGCAGGGGATGGGATGGGAAAGGGTTGGGATGAGGAGAGGAAGAAGAAAAAAATGAGGAACAAATCTTGCCAGGCCTTCTCCTTCTGAAGCATTTCCTCCCACCTTCACCAACACTGAGCAGCTATTCCTACCCTGTTCTGTAAGGAGCAGCTCAGGGTTCCATGCCACATGCACATGACTCAAACTTCATGCCACCCAGGCAGCCAACATGTATAAATTCTAACTCTGCTGGAACCTAGTCTCAGAGACAGACATGTAGGAGGGCACTCCAACATGATGCTCTCTCTGACCTCTCTGTTGGGTCCTGCAAGTTGTACACAAGAAAGCAGGTCAATTCCAAGACAAAAATGAGACAAATCTAACAAGGGATGGATTTCATAACCTCTGTCAAATATACTTCTTCACACCTGAGTTTTTTTCCCCCTTCTTTATAGAGAAACAGAAACCAGCTACATGCCAGCCGCTTCTCAATGAAAAGCAGAGGCCAGAATCAGATGGTAACAGAGGTCTCTATTTGCTCCAACTGGCCACCTCCCCACATGGCTAAGGAAAGCTGTGGGAACGAGGGTGACTTGTCCCTGGGCTCAGAAGCTTGGAACTATTCAGTAACTCCTGCCTCTAAGCATATGCTCTGAGCCTTGGTTCCAGCAGGTGCAGAGGGACCCCTAAGGGTCTCTGTGCTAAATATGCAAGGCCCAGTGTTCACAGCCACAGTCAGAGAAAAATCAAACTACCCAGTTCCTTCACCACACACAAGGTCACAAACCATATTGTCTGGCCATGCATAGCAGTTTCCCAGCCCCTGCCCCATCACATCTGCTATTACCTGTCTGCTCTGTGGCCATGGCTGTAGTGAAAAGACGTATGTTACAGTGAGAACCAAACGGAACTGAGAGCACGATCTGTCTGACCCCTGAACCATGGTCTAGCTTGGCAGAAGCAAACCTTTTGTTAAGGAGTTCAAACAACTTTGAAATTGAACTTGGGGCTGTCACTGTGGTGCACAGTGGGTTAACGCCCAGCCCTGAAGTGCTGGCATCCCATACCAGCTCGAAGCGCTGGTTCAAGACCCAGCTGCTCCACTTCCCGTCCAGCTCTCTTCTATGGCCTGGGAAAAAAGCAGAAGATGGCCCATGCCCTTGGGCCCCTGTGCCCATGTGGGAGACCTGGAAGAAGCTCCTGGCTCCTGGCTTCAGATTGGCGCAGCTCCAGCAGTTGCGGCCAACTGGGGAGTGAACCATCAGACGAAAGACTTCTCTGTCTCTCTCTGTCTCTTCTCTCTGTGTAACACTGACTTTCAAATAAATAAATAAATATTAAAAAAAAACTGAACTGTGGGAGTGATGGGTTTCTCCTTAGCACATCATTAAAGCCATTTTTTGTATGTAGAATACTCCAAACTAATGTGGTCCTGCGGGGCTCCTACCTGACCTCAGTAACCTAGCAACAAGCACTTCCTGATCCTGTTTGGCAAGATCAAAACACTCCTCCTGACCCCACTTTGTTCCTACCTTGTTCTATAAGAGGACAGTCCACGGTTCCATGTTTCAGGCAACCGAGTAACATGTCATGCCACCTGGCATTGACCTGTTTGGGTCTCAGTGGTAAAACAAGGTCCCTTAATGCCCTAAGTTGGGCCGGCGCTGCGGCTCACTAGGCTAATCCTCCGCCTAGTGGCGCCGGCACACCGGGTTCTAGTCCCAGTTGGGGCGCCAGATTCTGTCCCGGTTGCCCTTCTTCCAGGCCAGCTCTCTGCTGTGGCCAGGGAGTGCAATGAAGGATGGCTCAAGTCCTTGGGCCCTGCACCCGCATGGGAGACCAGGAGAAGCACCTGGCTCCTGCCATCGGATCAGCACGGAGCGCTGGCCGCAGCGCGCCGGCCGCAGTGGCCATTGGAGGGTGAACCAACGGCAAAGGAAGACCTTTCTCTCTGTCTCTCTCTCTCACTGTCCACTCTGCCTGTCAAAAAAAATAAATAAATAAATAAAAAATAAAAATAAAAAAAATAAAAAATGCCCTAAGTTGGTCCCTACTCCTGAGGCCCTGTGAATGAAGTAGACATAAGGAACCCGCCATTCCCTCTGCCTGAAATAGTTCACACAGCAGTGTCCTTCACAGAGGCTTTACGTGACAGCCAGTGGAGACTCCAGCCCCATTCCCTTATTCTTTCTGCAGCATCCTGTCCTGCTCCTTCGTGGTATTTATGACTGCATTTGGTTGCTTATTCATTTCTTGCTGTCTACCCACTAACCATTTGATTAACAAGCACTGACTGGGTGCTAATGATGTACCAGGAGATGGCTTTTCAACAGCTTTCAGTATCTCTACTAAAGATGGTTTGATTCTGATTGAGGTGAGACAAAAACATACAAATAAGAAAATATCAGTATTTAAAAGCACTAATTTTAAAATAAAACTGGACGATTTGATAGAGAATGAGAAGGAGCTTTGGATGGTTAGGAAAGGCCACTCTGAGGTGATGTGGAAGATGAGATATGAAAAATGAGTATAAGTGTGAAGAAAGTAGGGATTGTGTCTATTTTATTACCATGATATAACTAAGCACCCAGCATGTACCTTTCTCATAGTTAGGGCTCAGCAAATATTTACTGAATGAATGGGAAGTGATTCAGTGTCACCTCTGGGGATCTGGCCACAGTTCCTGCTATCCCAGCTCATGCTTAAGAGATTACTGTTACTGTCCACACTCAGCCTGGGCAGGAAGCTTGGCTGGAAACACAAATGCATCAATCCAGCATATTCTTATATTACAAGTGATCCTACCTGGATCCTTGGTTAACTAACTGGAAGTTACATAGGGTAGGTATGGAACCAACCTGGATGAGATTTGTTTTCAGTAATGTACTCGGGTCAGGAAATATACCCAACTCAGCCATTACTTCTCTTGATCTGGGGCAAGCATTTGGCCTAGCAGTTAAGCTACTGGTTTAGATGCCTGCAAACCACAGAGAAGTGCCTACCTTTGAATCCCTGTTCCACTCCTGACTCCGGCTTCCTGCTAATGGGAAGCCTGGAAGGCAGATGATGATGGCTCAAATGGTTGAGTCCCTGTTGGGATGGAATTCCTGGCTCCCAGCTTCAACCTGGCCCCGCTCTGGCCGCTAAGGACTAAACTAGTGAATCAGAATGTTGTTTGTCTGTTTCTGTCTCTCAAGTAAATAAAAACAAACAAAAAAATTTCTCTATCCTGTCCATATCCTTTCAGCTACAGAATCCTACAGAATAGGGGATGATTTTTTTCTGGGTTACAGCAGCGAGAAAATGCTGTTTCTGGGAGCCTATTCTTTTAAGTATTGGAATTTTCTTAAGATGTATTATATTCTCTATCCATTAAATGTTCTAAATCTGGAGCTAATATTTTTCTGGAGGCCTTAGTACTTAGAGACTAACTATACCAAAAACTTTTCAGAAATACTAATAAAAAAATTAAACACTTGAACTCAGTCAATAGTTTTAAAAGGGGCCAGTGTTGTGGCACAGTGGATTATGCCACTGCCTGTGACATCAGTATCCCATATCAGAGCACCAGTTCAAATTCCAGCTGCTCAGCTTTCAATACAACACCTGCTAATGCATCTAGAAAAGCAGTGGAAGATGGCCCAAATGTTTGGGTCCTTTTAAACCCATGTGGGAGACCTGGAAGAAGCTCTTGGCTCCTGGCTTCAGCCTGGCTCAGCCCTGACTGTTGCAGCCATTTGCGGAGTGAACCAGAAGATGGAAGCTCTCTTGCTCGTTCTTTTTCCTTCTCTCTGTCACTCTGCCATTCAAATAAATCTTTAAAAAAAAAAAAAGAGTCTTAGAAAATTTTCCAAAAAAAAATTACTCGTGTGTGGGGCTTGGATGGGCTCAACTCTGTCAGCTCATACTTCTGGCAACAGACGGAACTATCAGTTGCTGCTGTGGCCAGAGATGGCTTCTACCACTTGCTGAGAGGACAGAAATGAAGGAGGAATAAAAGGATGGCTCTGTATGCACCATATCTTTGAAAATCCTTAGAAGACAAGAGAAAGCCCAATAGTGTCTTTACTCCCAATGCAAGGGTCCCTAGCTCTAAGCCAAGAAAAAGGCATACAAGGCCCACGGGCCCCAGGAACTGAACTAGCTGTGTCGGAGAAGTAAAGTGTGATTTTGAGTGTTCTTTTCTCCTGGGTCACTCTAAAATAGCTCTCAGTTGAAAGTCTAACACTTCAGCACATACTTTCATAATACCAGGGACTTGTGATTAAGATTATAAAAATAAATCTATTAATTTTTATCTACACTCTCATTTGAACACTCAAATACATAGGCCATCTAGAAAACAAAATTTGAGCAAGATGATTATGACCTGGAGAGGAAAGCAGAGAGGGAACTTTGGTGGTAACATCCTTGTTAGAACAACGACTCAAAAGGAGGAGCCTGACACTCAACCAACATTCATGCATGTGTCACAGGTGTCAGTTACAGAAGGGTTTTTCTACCAACTTACCTACGGGCAGGAACAAAGGAAAAGTGAGCAGGTGCATTTGGAGAGAAATTCCGGGGGCTGTCCAAAGGACTGTTACCTGTGATGAGGAAAGGAAAAGGAACTTTGGTGAGGGTTGCTTCTAGGGAAGGCTGACATGACCTTCAGGCAAGAAATTTTAGGGCCAGTGCTGCGGCCAAATGGGTGAAATTGCTGCCTACATCTCACATGGGCGCCATTTGAGTCCCTGCTGCCCCATTTCTGATCCAATTTCTTGCTAATACACCTGGGAAAGCAGCGGCCCAAGTGCCTGGTCTCCTACACCCACATGGGAGACTCAGAAGAAGCTCCTGGCTTTGGGTTGGCACAGCCCTGGCCACTGAGGCCATTTGGGGAGTAAACCAGCCAATGGAAAGCTCTCTCTCACTTGCACTCTCTCTTTAACTCTTTCAAATATTTTTAAAAATCTTAGAAAAAAACCCCACTGTAACAATTTGAGCAAGATAAATAAAGTATTAATGGAGTATAATCCAAACTAGAAAAATTATCTATTAACCACACAGATATAAATGACTGAATAAACCAATGGAAAAGATCAGTGAGAACAGAGGACATCTGAACATCCCTACCAACCAACTTGACCTGACTCTTAACAAAACACTACACCAAACAGTAGAACATACATTCCTTGGCAAGACTCAGTAAATTAATGGTACTAAGTTACAGTTATAGAGAAGAAATAGTTCTGGTTTTGTACAGTCACTCTGCATAAACGGTAACTACAGACAATGTTAATGTACTGTATATTTCAAAAAAGCTAGAAGAAAGAGTATAGTATGCTTTTAACACAAAGAAATGAACATCAGACAATATATTCAAGTATTAAGACATGACATGGTTGGGGCTGGTGCCATGGCATAGCGGGTAAAGCCACTGCCTGCAGTGCCGGCATCCATATGGGCTCTGGTTCGAGTCCCAGCTGCTCCACTTCCAATCCATCTCTCTGCTATGGCTTGGGAGAGCAGTGGAAGATGGCCCAAGTGCTTGGGCCTCTGCACCCACATGGGAGACCCGGAAGAAGCTTCTGGCTCCTGGCTTCGGATCAGTGCAGTTCCAGCCATTTTGGCCATCTGGGGAGTGAACCAGTGGATGGAAGACCTCTCTCTGCCTCTGCCTCTCTGTAACTCTGCCTTTCAAATAAAATAAATAAATATTTCAAAAAAAAAAAAAAAAAAGGTATCACATGGTGCCTCACAAATGTGGGGAATTTTTATGGGTTGTTAAAAAAAAAAAAAAGGGTGAGTGTTAGCCTAATGGTTAAGATGCTGGAGTCTTGAATCAGTGTGCCTGGGTTTAATACTTGGCTCCTCCCCTGCTTCCAGCTTCCTGATGATCTTAAAAGGCAGAAATAATGGTTCCTGCCACCACCCACAGAGGAGACAGGGATTGCACTCATGCCTCTTGACTTTGGTTCCCCTGCCACTGCAGACATCTGGGGAGCAGACCAGCAGATGGAAGCTCTCTAATAACAGCTCTCTAGTAACTTTTTTTTTTTGACAGGCAGAGTGGACAGTGAGAGAGAGAGACAGAGAGAAAGGTCTTCCTTTGCCGTTGGTTCACCCTCCAACGGCCGCCGCGGCTGGCGCGTGGCGGCCGGTGTACCGCGCTAATCCGATGGCAGGAGCCAGGTGCTTCTCCTGGTCTCCCATGGGGTGCAGGGCCCAAGTATTTGGGCCATCCTCCACTGCACTCCCTGGCCATAGCAGAGAGCTGGCCTGGAAGAGGGGCAACTGGGACAGAATCCGGCGCCCCAACCAGGACTAGAACCCAGTGTGCTGGCGCTGCAAGGCGGAGGATTAGCCTAGTGAGCCGCGGCACTGGCCTAACTTTTTTTAAAACCAATAACAAAAGGATTTCTGGGAAATGCCCAAATATTTGGAAATTAAATAATACACTTCTGAATAATTTGTATGTCAAAGTTAAAAGGGAAAATAGTATTCTAAACACTACATAAAAATGATAACATAATGTCAAAAACCATTTAAGCAGGTCTTGAAGAGAGAACTACATCACTACGTATCTATAATAGGAAAGACAGACTCAATTTAATTACCTCAGTTTCTACCTTTTTTTTTTTTTAATATTTTATTTATAGGGGCTGGTGCCGTGGCTTACTTGGTTAATTCTCTGCCTGTGGTGCCGGCATCCTATATGGGTGCCAGGTTCTAGTCCCGGTTGCTCCTCTTACAGTCCAGCTCTTTGCTGTGGCCCAGGAGGGCAGTGGAGGATGGCCCAAGTGTTTGGGTCCCTGCACCTGCACGGGAGACCGGGAGGAAGCACTCAGCTCCTGGCTTCGGATCGGCGCAGCACTGGCTATAGCGGCCATTTGGGGGATGAATCAACGGAAGGAAGACCTTTCTGTCTCTCTCTCTCATTGTCTATAATTCTACCTGTCAAAAAAAAAAAAAAAAAGATTTTATTTATTTAAGAGGTAGAGCTACAGAGAGTGAGAGGGAGAGACAGAGAGAAAGTTCTTCCATCTGCTGGTTCACTCCCCAAACGGCCACAACAGCCAGAATTGTGCTGATCCAAAGCCAAGAGCAGGGAGCTTCTTCCAGGTCTCCCACTCGGGTGCAGGGGCCCAAGTACTTGGGCCGTCTTCTACTGCTTTCCCAGGCCATAGCAGAGAACTGGATCAGAAGAGGAGCAGCTGGGACTTGAACCAGTGCCCATTTGGGATGCCGGCGTTTCAGGCAGAGGATTAACCAGCATGGCCCCCTTCTACCTTAAAATATGGAAAAAGAAGAGCAAATGAAGCCCAAAAGAAAGGAAATCACAAAGATCATAGTAGAAATCAATTATTAAAATAATCGCAGAAAACTATCAAAAAGAAATACAGGTCTTTTTCAGATAAATAAAATTAAAACCATAGGTACAATGATCAGAAAAAAAAGGACACAAATTACCACCAACATTAGGAATGACATTCTATAGGTAATATCAGCAGAATGATAAGGCAACACTATCAAGAACTTCACATTTAACTTATTTGATAACTCAGATGAGACTAAAAAAACACTAGAAAGATAAAACTACCAAAGCTCAGGAAGAAATAGATATCTTGTGTAGTCTTGTATAGAAATTAAATTTATAATTTAAAACTTCCACACAAAGGGAACTCTAAGCTCAGATGACTTCATTGGAGAATTCTGTGAAACATTTTAAGAAACAATAATATTTTTACACAAATTTTTCTGGAAAACTTAAAAGAAAATATTCCCAACTCATTCTATGAGGGCATCATTAGCTTGATACCAAAGCCTAAGTACAGATTAATATTCCTCACAAATACAGATGCACATTCATAAAATTCCAATAAATCGAATACAATAATGTTAAAGGCCTGATTTATCAGGGCCAAGTGGTGTTTACTCCAGGAATACAAGTTGGTTGGTAATCTGAAAAACAAGCGTCAGAATTTACCATATAGATTAATAAAGAAAAAACACAATTTGTTGGACATAGAAAAATGATTTGATAAAAAAAAAAAAAAAGCAATCAAGGTGGGTATCTGGCCTAGTGGTTAAGAAGTTGGTTAAGGGGCTGGTGTTGTGGTACAGCAGGTAAAGCCACCACCAGTAACACCAGCATCCCATATGGACACCAGTTCATGTCCTAGCTGCTCCACTTGGGATCCAGCTCCCTTCTGATGGCCTCGGAAAAGCAGCAACAGATGGTCCAGGTGCTTGGGAACCCTGCCACCCACGTGGGAGAGCCAAATGGAGTTCCAAGCTCCTGGTTACTGCCGGGCCCAGCACTGACTGTTGTGGCCATCTAGGGAGTGAACAAGCGGATGGAAAATCTCTCTGTCTCTCCCTCTCTATATAACTCTTTCAAATAAATAAATAAATTTCAAAAAAAATTGAAGCCAATTTTTCTATCATCAAAATTCCCAAAAGAACACAATATTGCCAACCAATCAAAAGGGGGCCACCAAAACTGCAGAGCAACCAGAACTGGTATGCAACCTGAACATGTACCTCTTAACCTGAGCTTCAATCTGTGGGAATTTTTACTGCCCCTACCCCTCACCCCCAGGAGCTTGGGAATTAAGCAATAGCTACCTGGACTCCTTTCTTGCACTTTGCAATAAACATCTACTTCCTTCCACCTGGGTCACTGACTGGCTTGCTATGCATCAGGTGAGTGGCTTCCGGTTTTGTGGATTCTACAATATGCCATGTACAGTTTATGATAGTCTAGCATATGGCACTAATAAAGGTATCATATCTTAAGTACTATATTAAAGCTTAGTTTCATTCTTATTTTTATCATCTAAAAAATGAGGGTGGGTATTTAGCACAGCAGTTAAGATTTCACTTGGAATGTCTGTGTTCCATATTGGAGTGGTGAGTTCAAGTTTTGACTCCATTTTTTCAAAAAATTATTTATTTATTTGAAAGAGTTACAGAGAAGGAGAGGCAGAGAGAGAGAGAGAGAGAGAGAGATATCTTCCATCTGCTGGTTCACTCCTCAAATAGCTGTAACAGCCAGGACTGGGACAGGCTGAAGTCAGGAGTCTAGAACTCCATCCAGGTCTCTCATGTGTTTGGCAGGGGCTCAGTACTTAGGCCATCTTCCACTGCTTTCCCAGGCACATTAGTAGGGAGCTGGATTGGAAGTGGAGCAGCTGGGATTCAAACTAGTGCCCATATAGGAATGCAGCACTGCAGGTAGCAATATGACCCTGCTATAACATGGCACTGGCCCCGACTCCATTCTTGATTCCAGTTTTCTGCCATTGCACACTCTGAAAGGGACAGGTGATGACGGATGTACTTGAGTCCCTCCCCTCACATGGGAGACCTGGACTGAATTCCCAGCTCCTAGCTTCCACCTAAGACCATCTGCACTTGTTATGAGTATTTGGGGAGAAAATCAGCAGATCTCAAACACATAAAAAATATTTTTAATGAGTAGAAGTGTTAACATTTTTTCAACATATGCAAACAGATCATCTTTGGAAAATGCTGCTTTTGGAAAGTTCTAAGGAGTAGAATGACAGGCACACAGTAATATATTAGAAAAAATATCCAGCTC